TAATTCAATGTGGGAGTGGCTTGTCTCAATGCAGGCGTGGTTTGTCTCAATGTGGGCGTGTCTTGTCGCAATGTGGGCGTGTCTTACCGCGAAGTGGGCGCGTGTTGCCCCCTCTGAGCGTGTCCCGCGGTCCCGCAGCGCTCAACAGCCTGGAGGGGGAGTTCCGGGGCCGGTACTACCCCCTGCGGGCCATGACGGAGCAGGAGCAGCAGCAGCTCATCGACGACCACTTCCTGTTCGACAAACCCGTGTCCCCCCTGCTGCTGGCCTCGGGCATGGCCCGCGACTGGCCCGACGCGCGCGGCATCTGGTGCGGGGGCACCCGGGGGCACCCAGGCCTGGGGATCCATGGGTGGGGTTCAATGGGCACCCATGGGGTGGGGATCCATGGGTGGGGTTCAATGGGCACCCAGGGGTGGGGATCCATGGGTTGGGTTAAATGGGCACCCAGGGGTTGGGGTCAATGGGTTGGGTTCAATGGGCACCCATGGGTTGAGTTCAATGGGCACCCATGGGTTGGGTTCAATGGGCACCCATGGACTGGGTTCAGTGGGCTCCATTGGCACCCATACATTGGGGCCTCCACCTAAAGGGGGTCAATGGGCACCCATGGATTGAGTTCAATGGGCTCCATTGGCACCCATACATTGGGGCCTCCACCTAAAGGGGTTCAATGGGCACCCATGGGTTGGGTTCAATGGGCACCCATGGATTGGGTTCAATGGGCTCCATTGGCACCCATACATTGGGGCCTCCACCTAAAGGGGGTCAATGGGCACCCATGGGTTGGGTTCAATGCGCTCCATTGGCACCCACACATTGGGGCCTCCATCTAAAGGGGTTCAATGGGCACCCATGGGTTGGGTTCAATGGGCACCCATGGATTGGGTTCAATGGGCTCCATTGGCACCCACACATTGGGGCCTCCATCTAAAGGGGTTCAATGGGCACCCATGGACTGGGTTCAATGGGCTCCATTGGCACCCACGGGTTCAATGGGCACCCATGGACTGGGTTCAATGGGCTCCATTGGCACCCACACACTGGGGCCTCCACCTAAAGGGGTTCAGTGGGCCCCATTGGGCTGAGGCGGGTGCTGTGCCCCATAGGCACAATGACAACAAGACCTTCCTGGTGTGGGTCAACGAGGAGGATCACCTGCGCGTCATCTCCATGGAGAAGGGGGGCAACATGAAGGAGGTGTTCCGGCGCTTCTGCGTCGGCCTCAAGAAGGTGGGGTGGGATAGAGGGGAGGGGGCGCGGGGGGGGGCGGGGGTGCGCGGGCGCGCGCGCGGGCGCGCGCGGCGCGCGCGCGGGCGCGGGCGCGGCGCGCCGGGGCGGCGGCGCGCGCGCGCGGCGCGTGGGGCAGGTATATAGGTGGGTGGGATGGGGTGGGGGGTGGGTTATGGGATATGGGGGTGGTGGGTGGGGGTATGGGTGTGGATGGGATATGGGGTATGGGATATGGGGTATGGGATATGGGGTATGGGATATGGGGTATGGGGTATGGGATATGGGATATGGGGTATGGGATATGGGGGATGGGATATGGGGTATGGGGTATGGGGTATGGGATATGGGGTATGGGGTATGGGATATGGGGGCTTTGGGGATCCATTGTTTAGTGTGCCTTGCAAGGTGTCCCATGTTGGGTGTCCCCATTGGGTTCCCCATTGGGTGCTCCATGGATGTCCCATTGTGTGCCCCATTGTGTACCCCATTGTGTGCCCCATTGGATGCCCCCCTGTGTGCCCCATTGAGTCCCCCATCGTGTGCCCCATTGCGCGCCCTATTGCGTGCCCCATTGGATGCCCCACTGTGTGCCCCATCGCGCACCCCATTGCTCCCCATTGGATGCTCCGCAGATCGAGGAGATCTTCAAGGCCGCCGGGCACCCGTTCATGTGGAACGAGCACCTGGGCTACATCCTGACGTGCCCGTCCAACCTGGGCACGGGGCTGCGCGGCGGCGTCCACGTGCGCCTGCCCCAGCTCAGCCAGCACCCCAAGTTCGAGGAGATCCTCACCCGCCTGCGCCTCCAGAAGCGCGGCACAGGTGGGAATGGGCACGGGGATAGGGGGATGGAGGGGATGGAGGGGATGGGATGGGGTGGGGATGGGGGTGGGGATGGGGATGGGATGGGGATGGGGATGGGGATGGAGGGGATGGGGATACAGGGATATGGGGATGGAGGGGATGGGGGGCTGAGTATAGGGATGTGGGGTAAGGGTATGGGATACTGAATATAGGGATGTGGGTAGGGGATATGGGATACTGAGTATAGGAATGTGGGGTAGGGGATATGGGTATGGGGATATGGGATACTGAATATAGGGATGTGGGATAGGGAATATGGGGTATGGGGGTATGGGATACTGAATATAGGGATATGGGATGTGGGATGTAGGATATGGGAATATGTGGTATGGGATAGGGAATGTGGGATATAGGATGTGGGATGTAGGATATGGGATATGGGATGTAGGATATGGGATATGGGATGTAGGATATGGGATATGGGATGTAGGATATGGGATATGGGATGTGGGATATGGGATATGGGATGTGGGATATGGGATATTGGATATGGGAATATGGGATGTGGGATATGGGCACACGTGCTCTAGCTGAAGGTGCCTCTGCCCCTTGGTTGCAACTGCCCCAAAACCCTTCCATGAGCGCCCGGCTCTGTTCCCTGGGCTAACGCGCGTTAACACGCACCGACATGCGTTAACACGCACTGACATGTGTTAACACGCACCGACATGTGTTAACACACACTGACATGTGTTCACATGTGCTAACACGCACCGACATCCCGCGTTCACATGTGCTAACACGCACTGACATGTGTTAACATGTGCTAACACGCGCCGACATGTGTTCACATGTGCTAACACGCGCCGACATGTGTTCACATGTGCTAACACGCCGACATGTGTTAACATGTGCTAACACGCACTGACATGTGTTAACATGTGCTAACACGCGCCGACATCATGCGTTCACATGTGCTAACACGCACCGACATCCCGCGTTAACATGTGCTAACACGCGCCGACATGTGTTAACACACACCGACATGCGTTCACATGTGCTAACACGCGTTAGGCGGCGTGGACACCGCGGCCGTGGGCGCCGTGTTCGACATCTCCAACGCCGACCGCTTGGGCTTCTCGGAGGTGGAGCAGGTGCAGATGGTGGTGGACGGGGTCAAGCTCATGGTGGAGATGGAGAAGAAGCTGGAGCAGAAGCAGTCCATCGACTCCATGATCCCTGCCCAGAAGTGAGCCCCCCGCGGCCCTCCATGGGGCTCCCGCAGCACCCATGGGTGCTCAACACCACCTGTGGGTGGCCCAGGTTCACCTATGGGTGCGCAGCATCACCTATGGGGGCCCCAAACCAACCTCTGGGGCTCCAGCATCGCCGATGGGTGCTCGACGGCACCTATGGGTGCACCCAACTCAGCTACGGGCACCCCAAACCCACTCATGGGTGCCCTAAACCCACCTGTGAGCACCCAGCAAGGCCCAGCCTCAATAAACGCTGCTGGTCCCCACCATGACCCCAGTGTCCAGCACCTGCATACTGGGGGGTAGAGGGGTACCCAAAGGACAGGGACCCGCTCTGGGGGTGCTGGGGAATAGAAAGTGGGGGTGACCCCAAAGTGGGGCACCCTGGGGGGGTCCTGATGTTGGCGGATGCTGATGGGTACCAATGGATGCTGATGGGTACCAATGGGTGTCAATGGATGCTGATGGGTACCAGTGGGTACCAATGGATGCTGATGGGTACCAATGGGTACCAATGGATGCTGATGGGTACCAATGGGGACCGATGGATGCTGATGGGTACCAGTGGATGCTGATGGGTACCAGTGGGTATCACTGGATGCTGATGGGTACCAGTGGGTATCACTGGATGCTGATGGGTACCAGTGGGTATCACTGGATGCTGATGGGTACCAGTGGGAATCACTGGATGCTGATGGGTACCAGTGGGTATCACTGGTGCTGATGGGTACCAACAGATGCTGATAGATACCGATGGGTACCGATGGGTGCTGATGGGTACCAATGGGTACCAACTGATGCTGATGGGTACCAGTGGATGCTGATGGGTACCAATGGGTACCAACTGATGCTGATGGGTACCAGTGGATGCTGATGGGTACCAATGGGTACCAACTGATGCTGATGGGTACCAGTGGGTACCAATGGGTGCTGCAGACACCAGGGTTTCCTATGTTTATTTGGGGGTTCAGGATCCAGACCAGGGCAGGAATAACTTAAAAATGGGGGGGACACGGGGGAGGGGACACGGGGGGAACACGGGGGGGGGCCCAGGGCCCCTATTTACAGATGTACAGGCAGGGGGGCACAGGGGGGGCCCCCCACAGGTGGGTGCTGGGGGAGCCCCCCCAAAGGGCTGGAGCTGCTGGTCCCTGGGAGGGGGGGGCTGGAGCTGGGACCCCCCCAATGTCCCCAAGGGCCCCCCAGGCCTGGGGCAGCAGGGGGGGGACCCCAAAGCTGCAGCATCCCCTGGAATGGAGCCGGGGCACCCATGGGTGATGGGGTCCCAGCTTCATTATGGCCCCAGAGCACCTATGGGGGGGGGGGCGGCGGGCGGCAGGGTCCCACCTCATCCCCCATTGGGATGCAGCATCCATGGGGGGGGTCCCAGCTCCATCATGGCCCCATTACACCATGGGGGGGGCCCAGAGCCACAGCCCCATAGAGGGGGGTCCCAGCCCCATAGAAGTGGGTCCGGGCCCCATGGGGGGGTCCCAGCCCCATAGAGGGGGGGGTCGCAGCCCCATAGCGGTGGGTCCGGGCCCCATGGGGGGGTCCCAGCCCCATAGAGGGGCGGTCGCAGCCCCATAGCGGTGGGTCCAGGCCCCATGGGGGGGTCCAAGCCCCATAGCGGTGGGTCCAGGCCCCATGGGGGGGTCCAAGCCCCATAGCGGTGGGTCCAGGCCCCATGGGGGGTCCCTAGAGCTGGAGGCCGGGCAGGGGCAGGCGCCGGGCACTCGGCAGCAGCAGCAGCGGCCCCGGCCCGGTCACAGCGCGGGGGCCTCGGGGCAGCCGGGGGGGGGCTTCCGCTTGATGCCAAGGTAGATGGCAACTGGGGGGGAGAGAGGGGGGGGCACCCATGGGGGCACCCAAGGGTGGGCTATGGGACCCATGGGGGTGGGGCACCCAGGGGTGGGATATGGGACCCATGGGGGTGGGGCACCCAGGGGTGGGAAGGGGGGCACCCATATTGGGGGGGGGCACCCAAGGGTGGGCTATGGGACCCATGGGGGTGCACCCGGGGGTGGGAAGGGGGGCACCCCATATTGCACCCAGGTGGGCTATGGGACCCCATTGCACCCATATGCACCCAGGGGTGGGCTATGGGACCCCATTGGGGGGGGTCACCCAGGGGTGGGCTATGGGACCCCATTGGGGGGGGGCACCCAGGGGTGGGCTATGGGACCCCATTGGGGGGGGCACCCAGGGGTGGGCTATGGGACCCCATGGGGGGGGGCAGCACCCACCTTGTGAGCGCAGGTCCCCCGATTCTCTCAGGTTCGTCTGCGACCCTGGGGGGGAACACGGGAGTTGGGGGCGGGGCACGAGTGGGACCCCAAATTCACACCCACCCCCCCCCAGCAGCAAAGGGTGGAAGGAAGAGAGAGAGAAGGGAGAGGAGCCAAGTGAGGGGGCACTGGGAGCACTGGGGGGCACTGGTGCCATTGGCGACAGTGGGATCAGCACTGGGAGCACTGGGATGGGCATGGGTGCCATTGGCAGCAGTGGGATCAGCACTGGGAGCACCAGTGCCATTGAAGTCATTGGTGGCACTGGTGCCATTGGGATGGGCACCGGTGGCACTGGTGCCATTGGTGGCACTGGAGTCATTGGTGTTATTGTGGCTCTGGTGCCATTAGTGTCATTGGTGGCACTGGTGTCAGTGGTGCCACTGGGATGGGCACTGGTGTCATTGGTGGCACTGGAGTCATTGAGATGGGCAGCAGTGCCATTGGTGGCACTGGTGTCATTGGTGTTATTGGTGGTACTGGTGTCACTGGTGCCATTGGTGTTATTGGTGGTACTGGTGTCATTGGTGGTACTGGTGTCACTGGTGGTACTGGTGTCACTGGTGGCACTGGTGTCATTGGTGTTATTGGTGGTACTGGTGTCACTGGTGCCATTGGTGTCATTGGTGGTACTGGTGTCACTGGTGGTACTGGTGCCATTGGTGTTATTGGTGCCATTGGTGTTACTGGTGGTACTGGTGTCACTGGTGCCATTGGTGTTATTGGTGGTACTGGTGTCACTGGTGGTACTGGTGCCATTGGTGTTATTGGTGGTACTGGTGTCACTGGTGGTACTGGTGCCATTGGTGGTACTGGTGTCACTGGTGCCACTGGTGGCCCCGGCACTTACTGATCTTGGCTCCTGGCGCCGAGGGCGGCCCCGAGACGCAGCGGTTGGAGCTCTGGCGCTTGGAGGGGTCAAGAGTGACCCTGGAAGAGAGGAGGAGGAGGAGGAGGAAGCAGAGGAAGGAGAGGGAGATGGGAGCGAGGAGGAGGAGATGAGCGTGGAGATGGAGACGCTGCTGCTGCTGCTGCTGCTGCTGCTGCTGCTGGTGCTCTGGGGGCTGTGCCCATGGGTGCTGTGTCTGTGGGTGCTGTGCCCATGGGTGCTGTGTCTGTGGGTGCTGTGCCCATGGGTGCTGTGCCCATGGGTGCTGTGTCTGTGGGTGCTGTGCCCATGGGTGCTGTGTCTGTGGGTGCTGTGCCCATGGGTGCTGTGTCTGTGGGTGCTGTGGTACCCATGGGTGCTGTGTCTGTGGGTGCTGTGCCCATGGGGGCTGCGGTGTCCATGAGTGCTGTGCCCGTGGGTGCTGTGCCCATGGGGGCTGTGGTGTCCATGGGTGCTGTGTCTGTGGGTGCTGTGCCCATGGGGGCTGTGGTGTCCATGGGTGCTGTGTCTGTGGGTGCTGTGCCCATGGGGGCTGTGGTGTCCATGGGTGCTGTGTCTGTGGGTGCTGTGCCCATGGGTGCTGTAGTGTCCATGGGTGCTGTGCCCATGGGGGCTGCGGTGTCCATGAGTGCTGTGCCCGTGGGTGCTGTGTCTGTGGGTGCTGTGCCCATGGGTGCTGTCCTGTCCATGAGTGCTGTGTCTGTGGGTGCTGTCCTGTCCATGAGTGCTGTGTCTGTGGGTGCTGTGCCCATGGGTGCTGTCGTGCCCATGAGTGCTGTGTCTCTATGGAAGCTGTGGTGTCTATGGGTGCTGTGCCCATGGGTGCTGTGTCTGTGGGTGCTGTGCCCATGGGTGCTGTGTCTGTGGGTGCTGTGTCTCTACGGAAGCTGTGGTGTCTATGGGTGCTGTGGTGTCCATGGGTGCTGTCTCTATGGGTACTGTTGGTGCTGTCTATGGGTGCTATAGATGCTATGGGTGCTCTGTGCAGTATGGATGCTATGGATGCTATGGGTGCACTGGATGCTACAGGTGCTATGGGTGCCCTATGGGTGCCCTATGGGTGCTATGGATGCTATTGGTGCACTATGGGTGCTATGGGTGCACTATGGATGCTATGGGGGCCCTATGGGTGCTATGGGTGCACTATGGGTGCACTATGGGTGCTATGGGTGCCCAATGGGTGCCCGGGGTCCCCACTCACCTCCTGCTCAGCTTGGACGTGATTTTGCTGAGGAGGCTCCCGGGGGCTCGGGCTCTGCCGGGGGCGCGGTGGCGGCGGTGGGGGTCGGGGGGCAGCAGCGGCGCGGGCTCTCGGCGGGGGGCGTGGCCGCGGCGGGCGCGCGCCGCTCGCGCACGTGACCCCCGTGGAAGGTGCTGCGGGAGGCGGAGCCACGCGCGAGGCGCGAGCCCCCCCCGCTCCCCCCCCCCGAGCCCGCGCCGCTGCCGCGCCAGGCTCTGGCTCGAAGGCGACGGCGGCCCCCGCCCGGGGGCGGAGCTAAAAAAGGGGGTGGGGAGAGGGCGGGGTTAAATACGGTCATGGGGGGGGGCACAAGGGGGGGTCCCCGGGAGGGGGTCACAATAAGGGGTCACATGGGGGGGGTCCCGGGAAGTCACATGGGGGGGGGGTCCCCCGCGGGGGGGGGGTCACATGAGCCCCTGCGGGGGTCACAAGGGGGGGGAAAGGGGACGTCACATGGGGGAGTCCCGGGAGGTTCACATGGGGGGGGTCCCCGGGAAGGTCACACGTGGGGGTCACGGGGGGTCACATGGGGGGGAGAGGGGGGGTCACATGGGGAGGGCCCTGGGGAGTCACATGAGAGGGGGGTCCTGCAGGGGTCACAAGGGGGGTCACATGGGGGGGCCCGGGGGGGTTCCCATGGGGGGGGTCCCAAGGGGGGTTCCCATGGGGGGGGTCCCAAGGGGGGTTCATACCTGTTCTCTTTGCCATTGGGCAGCAGAGGGCCCCGCTCCGGCCGCTCCGTGCACACGTAGGTGTTGCGGCGCCCCATCACGCTCGAGGGCACGTTGGGCTGGGGGGGGGGCAAGGGGTCACCCCACACACAGAGACCCCCCCAGCACCCATAGGTACCCCCCATAGCACCCATAGCACCCCCCATAGCACCCATAGGTACCCCCCATAGCACCCATAGGTATCCCCCCATAGCACCCATAGGCACCCCCCATAGCACCCATAGGCACACCCATAGCACCCATAGGTACCCCCCATAGCACCCATAGCACCCCCCACAGCACCCATAGGTACCCCCCATAGCACCCCCCATAGCACCCATAGGTACCCCCCATAGGTACCCCCCATAGGTACCCCCCATAGCACCCATAGGTACCCCCCAGCACCCATAGGTGCCCGCAGCACCCACGGCGTTGCCGGCGCCCTCCTTGTGCCGCTCGGGGATCTCGGCCTTGTTGGGGTTGTGGGCGCTGCTCACCATGGGGCTGGAGGGGTGGGGGGGGACCCCGCGCCCCCCCCCCACGGCCCCACTGCCCCCCTTGCGCCCCCCCCGCTCCTCTGCACCGGGGGGGCTGCGCTTGGGGGGCAGCGGCACCGGGGAGGGGCCACCTATGGGGGGGGGAGGAGGGGTCAGCACCCATGGGTGACATAAGAGCGCCCCATAGAGCACCCCATAGAGCACCCCATAGAACACCCCATAGAACACCCCATAGAACACCCTATAGAGCACCCCATAGGAGCACTGCATAGGAGCACCCATAGCACCCACAGCAGCACCCACAGCAGCACCCATAGCACCAATAGCACCCCTCCCAGCACCCACAGCAGCACCCATAGCACCAATAGCACCCCTCCCAGCACCCACAGGAGCATCCATAGCACCCACAGCAGTACCCATAGCACCCATAGGAGCACCCATAGCACCCACAGCAGCACCCATAGCACCCATAGGAGCACCCATAGCACCCATAGCAGCACCCCCAGGAGCACCCACAGCACCCATAGCACCCATAGGAGCACCCATAGCAGCACCCCCAGCACCCACAGGAGCACCCATAGCAGCACCCCCAGCAGCACCCATAGCACCCATAGCAGCACCCATAGCACCCCCAGCAGCACCCCCAGCACCCCCCCAGCACCCATAGAGCACCCACAGAAGTCGCTGTGCCGCCGCTGTCTATGGTAGGTGCTGGTCCCGGTGCTGGTCCCAGTCCCGGTGCCGGTGCTGGTTCCCCGCTGGCTCTTCCCGTGCCCGGTCCCACTCTTGCCATTGGCCGCCTCGTTGGGTGCCCGCACCCGGGCTAAGGACAGGGTGCTACCGGTGCGGGCGTCCCCTGCATCCACCTGCGTACAATGGGTGTCAATGGGTGCCAATGGGTGCCGATGGGTGCGGATGGGTGCCAATGGGTGCCAATGGGTGTCAATGGGTGCCAATGGGTGCCGATGGGTGCTGATGGGCACCCATGGGTGCTCACCTCGCTCTTCCTGCCCAGCAGGAGGTAGGTGGCCGTCACCTCGTTGTACTTGTGGGTGCTGAGGGAGTCCTTGATCTCCTCCCGTGTGTAGCCCATGCCCACCATCACCTCTGCGGGTAATGGGGTTAATGGGGGGTGATGGGGACAGACCGGGACCCGCAATGGGGGGTGATGGGGGGGTAATGGGGACACCCCATGACCCGCACTGGGGGGGCAATGGGGACCCCCCATGACCCGCACTGGGGGGTGATGGGGGGGTAATGGGGACACCCCAGGACCCACAATGGGGGGGCAATGGGGACCCCCCATGACCCGCACTGGGGGGTGATGGGGGGGTAATGGGGACCCCCCGTGACCCGCACTGGGGGGGCAATGGGGACCCCCCCTGACCCGCACTGGGGGCCATGGGCTCGTCACCTCAAATGCGCTGATGTTCCCTGAGTTCTCCTGGGGCTCCCCTGGAGGGCTGGGGAGCCTCGTCTCCCCGTAGCCCTTTATGTTGATCCATTTGTCCTTCATGATTTGCTGGGGGGGGGCAGGGGATGCTCTGCTCAGAGCCCCCCATGGCCCCATGGGAAAATCCCCCCCACATCCCCAGGGACCCATTGGAACCCCCCAGACCCCATTGGAACCCCCCAAACCTCCCCCCCCAGGACCCATTGGAACCCCCCAAACCCCATTGGAACAAACCTCAGACCCCATTGGAACCCCCAACAGGACCCCATAGCCAACAGACACCCGATTGGGACCCCCAGCTCCCCAGACCCCATTGGAACCCTCCCTGGACCCCATTGGAACCCCTCCAGGACCCACCTGGAATCAGACCCCATTGGAACTCAGGACCCATTGGAACCCCCTCCCAGAACCCATTGAGGCCCCCAGAATCCCTACTGGAACCCCCCACACCCCATTGGGCGCCCAGACCCCATTGGATTCCCCAGATCCATTGGAATCTTCATACCTCGTGCAACCCCCTCCCAGACCCCATCTGAGTTTCCCACTCGCTGCAACTCAGACACCCATTGGAACTCGGACCCCATTGGAACCCCCCAGACCCCATTGGAACCCCCCCAGACCCCATTGGAACCCCCCCAGACCCCATTGCCCCCCACCTCGAGGGTGCAGCGCTTGGCGGGGTTGAGCACCAGGAAGCGGCGCAGGATGTTCTCACAGTCCGTGGACATGTAGAAGGGGACCCGGTACTTGCCCCGCAGCACCCGCTCCCGCAGCTCCTGGGGTGGGGGGCACCCATGGGGGACAATGGGGGGGGGCACCCATAGGGTGACAATGGGGTGGGGGGCACCCATGGGGGACAATGGGGGGGGGCACCCACAGGGTGACAATGGGGATGGGCACCGTGTGCAATGTGGATATGGGGTGGCCACCATCACCCCTGGACCCATAGCAACAGCATCATCACCACCTCCTCCATGGACACGGATGTGCTCCCATCCCCATCCCACGGTGATGTCCCCATGGTACCCACCCCATCCACCATGGACACGGATGCGCTCCCATCCCCATCCCATGGTGATGTCCCCATGGTACCCACCCCATCCACCATGGACACGGATGCGCTCCCATCCCCATCCCACGGTGATGTCCCCATGGTACCCACCCCATCCACCATGGACACGGATGCGCTCCCATCCCCATCCCATGCTGATGTCCCCATGGTACCCACCCCATCCACCATGGACACGGATGCGCTCCCATCCCCATCCCACGCTGATGTCCCCATGGTACCCACCCCATCCACCATGGACACGGATGCGCTCCCATCCCCTATCCCCACGCTGATGTCCCCATGGTACCCACCCCATCCACCATGGACACGGATGCGCTCCCATCCCCATCCCTAATGCCCATGTCCCCATGGACCCACCCCATCCACCATGGACACGGATGCCAGCTTCATCCCCATCCCATGCTGATGTCCCCATGGACCCACCCCATCCACCATGGACACACGATGCCTTTCCCATCCCCTAGATCTCCACGCCCATGTCCCCATGAGCACCCCACCCCATCCACCATGGACACGGATGCGCTCCCCATCCCCTATCCCATGCTGATGTCCCCATGAAGACACCCACCCCATCCACCATGGACCGGGTCACTACGCTTCCATCGCCATCCCACGCTGATGTCCCCATGGACCCACCCCATCCACCATGGGCCATCATGAGCGTCTTCCCATCCCCATCCCATGCGCCATGTCCCCATTTACCCACCCCATCCACCATGGACACGGATGCCTTCCCATCCCCATCCCTATGCCCATGTCCCCATGGCACCCACCCCATCCACCATGGACACGCATGCCTTCCCATCCCCATCCCATGGCCATGTCCCCATGGTACCCACCCCATCCACCATGGACCATGTTGGCCTCCTCCATCCCCCATCCCATGCTCATGTCCCCATGGCACCCACCCCATCCACCATGGACACGGACTGTGCCCTCCTATTTCCTCATCCCCTGACGCCCATGTCCCCATGGTACCCACCCCATCCAATGCCCCCAGGGCCTCGGTCCAGCCCCATCCCGGAGCCCACCTTGAGGTTGTGGCCATCGAAGGGCAGGGAGCCGCTGACCAGGGTGTAGAGGATGACCCCCAGGCTCCAGATGTCCACCTCGGGGCCGTCGTACTTCTTGCCCTGGAAGAGCTCGGGGGCTGCGTAGGGGGGGGACCCACAGAACGTGTCCAGCTTGGAGCCCAACCGGAACTCGTTGCTGAAGCCAAAGTCGGCGATCTTGATGTTGGCCTCGGCGTCCAGCAGCAGGTTCTCGGCCTGGGGGGGGCAGGAGATGATGGGATGGGGGGGGTGAGGTGATGGGGTGGGGGGATGATGGGGACAATGGGGATGGGGACAGGAAGATAGGGATAGGGATGATGGGGACGATGGGGACAATGGGGATGGGGACAGGAGAATGGAGATGGGGATGATGCAGATGGGGACAGGAACATAGGGATAGGGATGATGGGGACAATGGGGATGGGGACAGGAACATAGGGATAGGGATGATGGGGACGATGGGGACAATGGGGATGGGGACAGGAGAATGGAGATGGGGATGATGGGGATGGTGATGGGGATGGTGATGGGGATGGAGATGGGGATGATGGGGATGGTGATGGGGATGGTGATGGGGATGGTGATGGGGATGGTGATGGGGATGGTGATGGGGATGGTGATGGGGATGGTGATGGGGATGGTGATGGGGATGGGGATGGGGATGGGGATGGGGATGGGGACAGGAGAACGGGGAAGGCAATGATGGGGATGGGGGATGATGAGGACAGGAAGATAAAGGATGGAGATGGCGAAGGCGATGGGGATCGGTTCTATGATTCTACAATGGGGATGATGACAGTAGGATGGGGATGGGGATGAGGATGGTGAAGGGAATGGGGATGATGAAGGCAACAGGAATGGGGATGATGAAGGGGATGGGGATGGGGATGGTGAAGGGGATGGGAATGAGGACAGGAAGATGGGGATGATGAATGCGATGGGGATGAGGATGGTGAAGGCAATGGGGATGATGAAGGCAACAGGAATGGCGATGATGAAGGGGATGGGGATGGTGAAGGGGATGGGGATGGGAATGAGGACAGGAAGATGGGGATGAGGATGGTGAAGGCAATGGGGATGAGTTCAATGATTCTATGATGGAGACAAGGACACCAGAGTGAGGACAATGGGATGGGGACACAGTGGGGAGAGAATGGGATGGAGCTGGGGACAGGGACACCAGAGCAGGGCCCGGCTCCCACCTTAAGGTCCCTGTGGACGATGTTCTTCTGGTGGCAATAGTGCACGGCCGAGACGATCTGGGGGGGACAAGGGGGTGGCAGTGGGGGGGTGGCACCCATGTCCCCCCCCTGTCCAGGAGGCCCCTGATGCCTCCCCTTCACTTGTCTTGAAATTGGCCTCGCCTCCTTCTCCTTCATCCTCCCATGGGACACGAGGTAGTCGAAGACTTCACCTGCAGGGGACACCCATGGGTGCTGCAGCCCCCCTGACCCCCCATGGGTGCCCCCCAGTAAAGGTGGCCATTGCCTCTCATTAGACCCCCCCCAACCCCAACTACCCACCCAGCACCCTAGGGTGCCCCCAGGGACCAATGGGGGGGGTCCAGCACCCATTGAAGGGGGTCCAGCACCCATTGAAATGCGTCCAGGACCCATTGAAGGGGTCCAGCACCCATAGAAAGGGGTCCAGCACCCACTGAAGGGGGCCCAGCACCCATTGTGGGGGTTTCTCACCAGCACTGGCATATTCCATCACCAGGTACAGCGTCTTCTCTGTCTCAATGACCTCAAACAGCTTCACTATGGGGTGGAGGGGGAGAAAACCATCAGCACCCATGGGTGCCTCCCCACCCATGGGTGCCCCCCCTGCCCCCAACTCACCAATATTGGGGTGGTTCAGCCCCTTCATGATGCGAACTTCCCGGAAGAGCTACAATGGGGAGGGGGGTGTTAAAGGTGTTACCTGTGGGGGGACACTGAGCACCCCCCCCCGCACCCATGGGTGCCCCCCCACCCACCTTCTGCAGGCTGGTGGGGTTCAGCTGGGTCTTGTCGATGATTTTAATGGCCACCTGTGGAGAAAGGGGGGAATGGTGGGGAAAGGGGAATGATGGGGAGGGGGGATGATGGGAAGGGGGAACGATGATGGGGGTAGGGGGAACGACTGATGGGGGAGAGGGGAACTATGATGGGATCACCCCCAAACATCCCCTGTCTGCCTCCGTGGCTCCCTCCGCACCTCCCTGCCGGTCAGGATGTGCCGCGCCAGCTTCACTTTGGCGAAGTTGCCTTTGCCGATGGTGCGGAGGAGCCGGTAATTCCCGACGTGGGGCTGCTCCTCGGGGCACGCCGCGATGGAATTGCGGCAGCGGGCGCCCAGCGAGCGGCTGGACCAGCCCGAGCCCTTCTCCGAGCGGCTGCTGCCCAGCTATGGGAGGAAGAACGGGGGGGGGGACATGAATGGAACGGTCCAAACCCCCCCCCACCATCAGCACCATGAGCACGCAGTGACCCGGATCACCCCCCCCTCCTCCCCACGGTTCCATTGACCCGCGGGTTGGGATCCATCCGGTTCAACCGGCTCTGGAACCGCGTCCTGGCTGAGCCCGAGGGTATCCGGATAACCGGGACCACCCCCCCCCACATCAAAGAGCCGGTCCTGACCCCTCCCGGTACCTCCGGACCGCTCCCGGTGCCCCCCCCCCCCCAGTATAAACTAATCCCTCCCGGTATAAACCAATCCCTCCCAGTGCCCCCATCCCAGTATAAACCAATCCCTCCCGGTATAAACCAACCCCTCCCAGTGCCCCCATCCCGGTATAAACCAATCCCTCCCAGTGCCCCCATCCCAGTATAAACCAACCCCTCCCGGTATAAACCAATCCCTCCCAGTGCCCCCATCCCAGTATAAACCAACCCCTCCCAGTATAAACCAACCCCTCCCAGTGCCCCCATCCCGGTATAAACCAACCCCTCCCGGTATAAACCGATCCCCCCCCCCCCCAGTGCCCCAGCCCCTCCCGGTACCGATCAAGGCCCTCCCCTTCTATAACCACCCCCCCCCCTCCCCCGGTCCGGACCCACCCCTCCCGATACCCCCGCTATAAACCGCTCCCCCTCGGTACCCACCCCAGAATAAACCGAACCCTTCCGGTACCGACCGAGCCCCTCCCGGTGTGAATCGGGTCCCGTCCCCCCCTTTCCCCGCTATAAACCGAGCCCTCCGCATGCCCCGGTTCATCGCTCCGGTACCAACTGTCCCCCCCCCCCCGGTTCGGTACCGATCGGGCCCTTCCCGGTTCCCCCCCCTCCTCCGGTGCCGGCCCTGCCCTCACCGCGTCCGGGTTCCGCTCGTTCCCCGCCGCCAGCGCCGACCGCGAGGACATCGTGACCGGCAGGGCCGAGGCCTGGGCCTGGGCCGGGGCCGGGGCCGGGCCGGGCCCTCAGCGGGCGGCGGCGGCCATGGGCCGCACCGGAACCGGAACCGGCGGCGGGCGGGGCTTAACGGCGCGTTGGCCACGCCCCTTAAAGCAGCCGCACTTTAATAGGCGCTCTCGCCCCGCCCACCAGAGCCAATCACAACGCACCGAAGACGCTTCCTATTGGCTCAGCCCAAGCATGGAGACAGCCCGGCCCGCCCCAATGCTAGGGGGCGGGGTCAGTGACAGAGCGTCTTTTCCATTGGTTGATGCGCTGGCCAATCGGAGGCCGGAGGGGAGAAGGAGGCGGGACTTAACCCCGAGCGTCCGGGGATGGGCTCCCCCGGGTCCTAGCGCCGCCGGTCGGGTCCCGCCCGTGGGCGCGGGGGGGTCCCCTTGTGCCCCCGGCTCCGTCCATTCAACGCGAGGGGTCCCCGGCGGCTCCGTCCCCCCCCACCGGGACCCCGCGTGTCCCTTGTACCCCTATGGATGACACCGGGGGTCCCCCCTGTGTCACCGGGGTCCCCTTGCCCTGATCTATGGGGTCCCCAGCGCTCCTAGGGCCCCATCTGCGGGGTTTATGGGGTCCCCGGTGCCACCAAGGTCCCATCCCTGCGGCATCGGTGGCCCCCCAGGACACGGCGTGGAACGGGGTCCCCTGCGTCCCCATTGTCCACTCCCTGCAGCACTTGGGGTCGCCCCGCAGCCCTGTTCCCCCCCCCGTCCCCTCCGTATCCCCGGTGCCATCTCCACCCCCCCTCCGTGTGTCCCCCCCTCGTGTCCCCCCCGTCCCCGGTGACCCAGCGGAACCGGGGCTGACCCTGCCCCGGCCATGGGCGGCCGCTTCCTCAGGAAACCCCTGGCCACCGTCACCGGGGTCACCAGCGCAGCACCAGTGTCACCAGCACGGCAACAGTGTCACCAGCACCAGTGTCACCAGCACCATTGCACCGGGGTCACCAGCACCAGTGTCACCAGCACCAGTGTCACCAGCACCATTGCACCGGGGTCACCAGCACCAGTGTCACCAGCACCATCACACCGGTGACACCAGCACCAGTGTCACCAGCACCATTGCACCAGGGTCACCAGCACCATCGCACTGGGGTCACCAGCACCATTCAACCGGCGTCACCAACACCATCGCACCAGTATCACCAGCACCATCGCACCGGTGTCACCAGCACCATTACATCGGTGTCACCAGCACCATCGCACCAGCATCACCAGCACCATTGAACCGGTACCACCAGCACCATCGCACCAGCATCACCAGCACCATCGCACCGGCATCACCAGCACCATCGCACCGGTACCACCAGCACCATCGCCCCGGCATCACCAGCACCATCGCACCGGTACCACCAGCACCATTGAACCGGTACCACCAGCACCATCGCACCGGTACCACCAGCACCATTGAACCGGTACCACCAGCCCACCACCAGCACCACGGGTACGTGCGTGGGGTCCGCGGGGCTTCGCACCCATGGGGCGGGCCAGGGGCCATCATTGCCCCGCTCCGGGCTCCCGGTTCCCCCTCCCCGGTTGCCTCCCGGTGCCAGCCCCGTCTCCCCCCCCCGTCCCCAAGGCAATGCCGCTGCTGAGGAAGCCGCCCCGGGACGAAGACCCCGAGCCCGGGGACCCGTTCGCAGCCAGCCCCGAGAGCCGGTTCCGGCGCCGCGCAACGCTCGAGCTGCTCGTGGGGCTCGGCCCCTTCGGGCGCTCCCGGCGCGGAGCCCCCCCAGGACCGGGACCGGGACCGGGGCTGGGACCGGGGCCGGGTCCCGGCGGTGATGCCCGAGCCCGGCGCCGCTCCGAGGACCTGGGGCGGCGGCGCCGCAAGGAGGAGCCCAGCGGCACCAAGCGCGGGTCCTGGCTGCGGCTCCCGGTGCCGACCCCGTGGGGCCAGCGAGGGGCAGGCGCGGAGCGAGCGGGCGGCGGGGACGGAACGGACGGGGCCGGAGGAGGAGATGGGGACGGAGCCGGGCAGGGAACGGACGGGAGAGGGAAGGAGAAGGAGAAGGAGAAGGAGCCGCTGTCGGGTGAGGGATGGGGATGGGGATGTGGGGACATCACAGGGACATGGGAATGGGGAAGAGTGGGAGGAGGATATGAGGGATGTGGGGATGGGGATGGGACATGGGGATATGGGACTTGGGAATGGGGACAAAGGGATGGGGATGTGAGGACATCACAGGGAACAGGGATGTGTGGGCATGAGGACACAAGGGATGCAGGGATGTGAGAATGGGACCTGGGGATGGGATGTGGGGTATGGGACATGGGGATGGAGACAAGGGGATGGGGATGTGGGAATGGGGACATGGGGATGGAGACAAGGGGATGGGGATGTGTGGATGGGGACCTGGGAATGGGGACATGGGGATGGAGACAAGGGGATGGGGATGTGGGGATGGGGACCTGGGAATGGGGACATGGGGATGGGGACAAGGGGATGGGGATGTGGGGATGGGGACATGGGGATGCAGACAAGGGGATGGGGATGTGTGGATGGGGACTTGGGAATGGGGACATGGGGATGGGGACAAGGGGATGGGGATGTGTGGACATCACAGGGCCATGGGGCTGGGGGCCCAGCTTGGGTCCACTGGTTCCTATGGGACCTCTGCATCCCATTCCCCCTGCCCCTTTCCAAGTGCTGGAGATCCTGGAGCTGATCCAGCGGCGGGAGCTGCTGGCGGCCGATGAGCAAATCATTGCCTTGGAGGCGGAGTGCGCGGCCCCATCATCACCATCATCACCCCCATCATCATCATCACCCCCATCACCTCCATCATCATCCCCATCATCCCCGGCCCCCGGCCGCCAGGCTCGGGACGTGGCCCTGCTCTACCGGGCGCTCCTGGCTCAGCTCTGGGCCGTGCTGGCCGAGGCCGTGGCCGCCGCTCGCCCCTTGCCCTCGCTGCGCTCCGTGATCCGGGTCCTGCAGCAGGAGGAAGCCGCGGATCAACGCCAGGGACCCGGGGCAACCGGACGGCCCCGGAGGCTGCGGCAGCGCTGGGAGGAGGCGGCGGCGAGGGCGGCCGGGGAGCGCCTGGCGCAGGCGGCGCCGCTCGGGAACGGGGTCGGAACCGGGGCTGGGAGCGGGAGCGGGAGCGGGGCCGCGCTGGGAGCGGAGCTGGCGGCGCTGGCGGCGCGGATGCTCCGGGACCTGAGCTCCGTGCGCGCTCACGTGGCCCCCGCGTTCCCGGCCGCCTACGACGCCGCCGCCGTGTACGCGCGCGGGTACCACCGGGCCCTGCAGCAGCGGCTCCGGGCAGCGGCGCAGAGGGAGCTCGGGGTCCCGGAGCTTTACGTGCTCCTGGAGTGGAGCAGCGGAGCCTACCCCCGGTGAGGGAGCACGGAGCCCACAGGGACCCCATAGGGATCCCATAGCACTGACCCCTACAGGGAGCCCCTAACACTGACCCCCATAGGGATCCCATAGCACTGACCCCTACAGGGAGCCCCTAACACTGACCCCCACAGGGATCCCATAGCACTGACCCCTACAGGGAGCCCCTAACACTGACCCCCACAGGGATCCCATAGCACTGACCCCTACAGGGAGCCCCTAACACTGACCCCCATAGGGATCCCATAGCACTGACCCCTACAGGGAGCCCCTAACACTGACCCCCACAGGGATCCCATAGCACTGACCCCTACAGGGAGCCCCTAACACTGATGCCCCTATGATGCCCCCAGTGACTCCCCAATGACCAATGTCACCCCAATAGAACCCCAATGACCCCCCCAATGACCCCCATGACCAATGTCACCCCAATATCACCCCAATGACCCCCCCAATGACCAATATCACCCTAATGTCACCCCAATATCACCCCAATAGAACCCCAATGACCCCCCAATGACCCCCAATGACCCCCCCAATGACCCCCCAAGACCAATGTCACACCAATATCACCCCAATGACCCCCCCAATGACCCCCAATGACCCCCCAATGACCCCCAATGACCAATGTCACCCCAATATCACCCCAATGACCCCCCCAATGACCCCCAATGACCCCTGCAATGACCCCCAATGACCAATGTCACCCCAATAGAACCCCAATGACCCCCTCATGACCCCCCAATGACCCCCCAATGACCAATATCACCCCAATAGAACCCCAATGACCCCCCAATGCCCCCCCCACTGACCCCCCCTTACTCCCCCCATCCATAGGGAGGTGCTGGGGAACCCCGAGGTGGGGCCCTTGCTGCAGGGACTGGGGCCCCCTCTGCCCCCCGAGACCCAGCGCAGCCTCGAGAGCACCTGCATCAGCGCCGTCAAGGTGGGACCCATTGATGGTGCCCCATAGCCCGTGCCCCATTGATGGTGCCCCACTGATGGTGCCCCATTGCGTGCCCCATTGCCTGTGCCCCATTGGCAGGCGAAGGTGGAGGCGGCGCTGGCCCAGGAGCTGCAGCTCAGTGAGGACTCGTGGGGCGAGGAGGTCACCAGCCAGGAGCTGCAGGAGGGGCTGGCCCCACGCGTCACGGGGGTACGGGCACCTATGGGGCACCTATGGGGCACCCATGGGCCCACTGCACCGCATGGGGGTGTTGGGGGGGGGGACCCCATAGGGACCACATGGTGATGGTGATGGGTGAATGGGAACCCCATAGGGACCACATGGTGGTGGTGATGGGTGAATGGGAACCCCATAGGGACCACATGGTGGTGGTGATGGATGAATGGGGACCACATAGGGACCACATGGTGATGGTGATGGGTGAATGGGAACCCCATAGGGACCACATGGTGGTGGTGATGGGTGGATGGGGACCCCTTAGGGACCACCTGGTGGTGGTGATGGGTGGATGGGGATCCCATGGGGACCCTATGGTGATGGTGATGGGTGAATGGGGACCCCATAGGGATGCTATGGTGATGGTGATGGGTGAATGGGGACCCCATAGGGATGCTGTGGTGATGGTGATGGGTGGTTGGGACCCCATAGGGATGCTGTGGTGATGGTGATGGGTGAATGGGGACCCCATAGGGACCACATGGTGATGGTGATGGGTGAATGGGGACCCCATAGGGATGCTATGGTGATGGTGATGGGTGAATGGGGACCCCATAGGGATGCTATGGTGATGGTGATGGGTGAATGGGGACCCCATAGGGATGCTATGGTGATGGTGATGGGTGAATGGGGACCCCATAGGGATGCTATGGTGATGGTGATGGGTGGTTGGGACCCCATAGGGATGCTATGGTGATGGTGATGGGTGGTTGGGACCCCATGGGGATGCTGTGGCCCTGTCCCCACAGTTGCTGCGGGCGCACGTGGATCGAGCCCCCCAAATCACCCCCGAGTTCGGCAGGGAGATGGCGCAGACTCTGCTGGGAGTGCTGGTGACCTTCCTGCATAGGTGGGACATGGGGACAGGGCCCCATTGCATTGGGTGCCCATTGCATTGGGTGCCCATTGCATTGGGTGCCCATTGCATTGGGTTCCCATTGCGTTATGTGCCCATTGCATCGGGTCCCCATTGCATTGGGTGCCCATTGCATTGGGTTCCCATTGAACTGGGTGCTCATTGCATTGGGTCCCCATTGCGTTGGGTGCCCATTGCATTGGGTCCCCATTGCGTTATGTGCCCATTGCATCGGGTGCCCATTGCATCGGGTCCCATAGCACCCATGGGTGACCCACGCTGGTGCTTCAGCTTCCAGCGCAAGGTGGAGCGGTTCCTGGAGGCACCCATTGACCCGTGCCCACCCGACGGCACCGCCGGCCGCGCCATCGCCCTGGTCAACTGCTGCCCCCCGTTCAGGTGAGGCTGCCCCATGGCCATGGGGGGTGCTGGGGTGGGGGGCAAGGTCCCATAGCACCCATTGACCCCCCCATAGGAGCTTCACCGAGCGCCTGGCACAGTTTGGGCACCCCGAGGGGGAGGAGCTGCGGCGCCAGGCCCAGGGTGCCCTGGACAAGGTGACCCGGAGCTGCAACCATGTCCTCACCCAGCGCCTCTTTGAGGACCTCAAGGTGCTGGGAGGGGGTGGGATGGGGTGGGATGGGGGGGAGGAGGAGAGCAATGGGTGCCCAGTGATGGGTGTTGAGTTGGGTGATGCCCATGGGTGCGATGCGAATGGTACCCATTGATGGGTGTTGAGTTGGGTGATGCCCATGGGTGCGATGCTCATGGTGCCCATTGATGGGTGTTGAGCTGGGTGATGCCCATGGGTGCGATGCTCATGGTGCCCATTGATGGGTGTTGAGTTGGGTGATGCCCATGGGTGCGATGCTCATGGTGCCCATTGATGGGTGTTGAGTTGGGTGATGCCCATGGGTGCGATGCTCATGGTGCCCATTGATGGGTGTTGAGTTGGGTGATGCCCATGGGTGCGATGCTCATGGTGCCCATTGATGGGTGTTGAGTTGGGTGATGCCCATGGGTGCGATGCTCATGGTGCCCATTGATGGGTGTTGAGTTGGGTGATGCCCATGGGTGCGATGCTCATGGTGCCCATTGATGGGTGTTGAGTTGGGTGATGCCCATGGGTGCGATGCTCATGGTGCCCATTGATGGGTGTTGAGTTGGGTGATGCCCATGGGTGCGATGCTCATGGTGCCCATTGATGGGTGTTGAGTTGGGTGATGCCCATGGGTGCGATGCTCACGTCGCCCCTCTGTTGGTGCCCATCGGTCGGTGCCCATCGTGGCACCCACCCATTGGGTGCTCCCTGTTGGGTGCCAGCCCCTCTCCCCTCCCCAGCCCTACTTCAACAAGCTCATGAAGCGCAAGTGGCTGACGAGCTCGGACGCCTTCGACTCCATCGTGATGCTCATCACCAGCTTCTCCCAGAAGCTCCGCCCACTGCACCCCGAGCCCTACCAGGTGGGTGCTGGGGCTTGGGGTGACACCCATGGGTGCCGCACTCACAGCACCCATCCATTGGGTGCTGGTTTGGATGACACCCATGGGTGCTGCACTCATAGCACCCATCCATTGGGTTGTGGTTTGGATGACACCCATGGGTCCCACAGTCACGGTGACACCCATGGGTGCTGGTTTGGATGACCCTCATGGGTGCCACACTCACAGTGCCTATCCATTGGGTGCTGGTTTGGATGACACCCATGGGTGCTGGTTGGGATGACCCCCATGGGTGCCCCACTCCCACTGACCCCCATGGGTGCTGGTTTGGATGACCCCCATGGGCGCCACTCTCCCAGTGACACCCATGGGTGCTGGTTGGGATGACCCCCATGGGTGCTGCTCTCAGTGACCCCCATGGGTGCTGGGTCTTGGGTTGACCCCATGGGTGCCGCTCTCCCAGTGTCCCCCATGGGTGCTGGTTTAGATGACACCCATGGGTGCTGGGTCATGGGGTGACCCCCCTGGGTGCCACACTCCCAGTGTCCCCATGGGTGCTGGTTTAGATGACCCCCTGGGTGCCACACTCCCAGTGTCCCCATGGGTGCTGGTTTCAATGACCCCCCTGGGTGCTGCTCTCCCAGTGACCCCCTTGGGTGCCGCTCTCCCAGTGACCCCATGGGCGCTGGTTTCAATGACCCCCCCGGGTGCCGCTCTCCCAGTAACACGCATGGGTGCTGGTTTCGATGACCCCCCTGGGTGCTGCTCTCCCAGTGTCCCCATGGGTGCTGGTTTCAATGACCCCCCTGGGTGCTGCTCTCCCAGTGACCCCCCGGGCTCCTCCTCAGGTGCTGGTGAGTGAGCTGCACCGCCGGGTGCTCCTGGCCTACGTGCGCCCCCTGCTCTCGGGGCGCCTGCTCTGCCCCTCGGCCAAGGCCCGGGCCCGTGTGGCCGCGCGCCTCAGTGACGAGGCCCGGCAGCTCCGCGAGCTCTTCACCCGCCTGGTAAGGAGCAGAGAGCCCCATAGGGTGCCATTGGGTCCCATTGGGGTCCCTCTGGGTGCCTTTGGGTGCCTTTGGGTGCTCTTTGGGTGCCTTTGGGTGTTCTTTGGGTGCTCTTTGCATCCCTTTGTGTGCCTTTTGGGTGCTCTTTGGGTCCCTTTGGCTGCTGTGTGGGTGCCATTTGGATGCTCTTTAGGTGCCTTTTGGGTGCCCTTTGGGTGCTCTTTGGGTGCTCTTTGGGGCCCCTTTGGGTGCTCCCATGAGAGGAGCCCATCACCAAGCCCTGGCCATGCAGGACTCGGCATCCCCGTGGCTGGACTCGGTGGTGCCGCGGCTGCGGGAGCTGCTGGTGCTGGAGGACACGGCCGCGCTGCAGATGGAGGTCGGGGTCCTGGCCAGGGACTTCCCTGATGTTCGGTGAGTGATGGAGCCCATTGGGACATCCTCGTTTCCATCCGGGTGGGGTTGGTGCCATTGGTGCCCATTGGTACCCACTGTTGCCCATTGGTGCCATTGATACCCATTGATACCCATTGATGCCCATTGATACCCATTGGTGCCATTGGTGCCCCTGGTGCCCATTGATACCCGTTGGTTCCCACCGGTGCCACTGATTGCCATTGATACCCATTGGTACTCATTGGTGCATTTGGTACCCATTGTTACCCATTGATTGCCATTGATGCCCACTGGTTGCCATTGATGCCCACTGGTTGCCATTGATGCCCATTGGTTGCCATTGATGCCCATTGGTGCCCATTGGTTGCCATTGATGCCCATTGGCTGCCATTGATGCCCATTGGTGCCCATTGGCTGCCATTGATGCCCATTGGTTGCCATTGATGCCCATTGGCTGCCATTGATGCCCATTGATGCCCATTGGCTGCCATTGATGCCCATTGGTGCCCATTGGTGCCCCGCAGGCGGGAGCACGTGGCAGCGGTGCTGGATGCACGGGGCCTGCGGAGCCCCTCGGCCCGACACGAGATCCTGGGGGTGCTGCGGGACCTGGAGCGGGGGGGGGCCGTGACCCCGGCCCCGCTGGCACCGGCGTCGCCATCGCGGCACCGCGCGTTCTTCGCCGAGCTGCCGGTGCCCGGGGCCGGGCGCTGTTTGCCCTTCCAGCTCCCGCGCCTGGCGCCCATGGCCCGGCTGCGCCGACGGCGCCCGCGCCTCTGAGGTGGCTCCTAGGGGTGCGCATCGACAGCTGCTGGCACCGCCCCATCCCCATCCCCATCCCATCCTTATCCCATCCCCATCCCATCCCCATCCTCATCCCTATCCTTATCCCATCCCCATCCCATCCTTATCCCATGCCCATCCCAACTCCATCCCATCCTTATCCCACCCCATCCCCATCCTATCCTTATCCCATCCCCATCCCATCCCATCCCATCCCCATCCCATCCCCATCCTCATCCCCATCCCATCCCCATCCCATCCGATCCTTATCCTATTCCTATCCCATCGTTATCCCGTGCCCATCCCATCCCTAGCCCATCCCTATCCCATCCCCATCCCCATCCCCATCCCATCCCTATCCCATCCCCATCCCATCCCCATCCCATCCCCATCCCCATCCCATCCCTATCCCATCCCATCCCCATCCCAATCCCATCCCATCCCCACCCAGCTCCCTCCGCACCCCCAGCACCCCGCAGGATGCTGCTGCTGCTGCTGCTCCTCATGCAAGGAAGGAAGCAGCCGCGCGCCAGCGCTGGGCCGGGAATCCACCCGCTCCCACTTCCCGGCATCCCGGACCGGGGGGGGGGGGGGGATATGGATCCGGACCCGGATCCAGACCCCATCCAGCACCAGGACCCAGCGGCTCCATCACCGCAGCCCTTGGCCGCCATCGGTGCCATGAGCTGGTGCCAGGCCTCAGCCCAGCCCTGGGTGGATGCTGGGGGGGGGGGGGGGGTGTTTCCATCCTCTCCCATTCCCAAAATAGGCTGGAGCGGATCCGGCTCCCGGCAGGAAGCGGCGAGCGCTATAAATAACGGGTCAGGGTCGTGGGGCCGGAAGCGGCCACGCCGGGCGGGAATGTCGGGAAGGGATGGGGGGACCTTGGGGGGGACGCACGCAAGGGTGGGGATCACTGCGGGGCTGGGAATGGGCACCCCCAAGTGGGAATAGGGACCCCTGAACTGGGAATAGGGACCCTAAACTGGGAATAGAGACCCTAAAATGGGAATATGCATCCCTAAACTGGGAATAGGGACCCCTAAACTGGGAATAGGGACCCTAAACTGGGAATAGGGACCCCTGAACTGGGAATAGGGACCCTAAACTGGGAATAGGGACCCCTAAACTGGGAATAGGGACCCTAAACGGGGAATAGAGACCCCTAAACTGGGAATAGGGACCCCTGAACTGGGAATAGGGACCCTAAACTGGGAATAGGGACCCTAAACTGGGAATAGGGACCCCTAAGCTGGGAATAGGGACCCCTGAACTGGGAATAGAGACCCCTAAGCTGGGAATAGGGACCCCTGAACTGGGAATAGGGACCCCTGAACTGGGAATAGGGACCCCTGAACTGGGAATAGGGACCCCTGAACTGGGAATAGGGACTTCCAACTGGGAATAGGGACCAATAAAATGGGAATAGAGACCCCTAAACTGGGCATAGACATCCCTAAACTGGGAATAGACATCCCTAAATTGGGAATAGGGACCCCCAAGTGGGAATAAGGACCCCTAAAATGGGAATAGGCACCCCTAAACTGGAAATAGGGACCCCTAAACTTGGAACAGACATCCCTGAACTAGGAATAGGGACCCCCAAGTGGGAATAGGGACCCCTAAACTGGGAATAGAGACCCCTAAACTCGGAATAAAGACCACTAAAATGGGAATGGGCACCCCTAAGTGGAAACAGGGACTTCCAACTGGGAACAGACACCCCTAAACTGGAAATAGAGACCCCTAAACTGGGAATAGAGACCCCTAAACTGGGAATAGAGACCCCTAAACTGGGAATAGAGACCCCACTTCGCGCCCCCTCGCGGCCGCCCGCAGCTCAGCAGGAGGCGGAGCTTGTATGGCCAAGCCCCCGCCCATCACACAGATGATTGGCAGGCGGAGGGGGCCAATAGGGAGAGAGAGCCGTGTCCCCATTGCATCCCCATCGCATCCCCATCACCCCTATCCCATCCCAAGGCACACAGGAGCCGCAGGGCCGATCCGAAGCTGCTTTATTGGCCACGTTGGGATGGGGAAAGCACGGACGCAATGGGGCCGGGGGGGTTTTGGGGGGGGGGGGTGGCCCCAGGACCAGGCACATCCACAATGATCCACAACGATCCACAACGATCCATTAGAATGATCCAGAATGATCCAGATCCATAAACCCATCGTCCATAAAAAACTAAACATCTCCCGCGGTGCGACGCGACCCAAATTTGGGGGGTTTGGGACAAGGACAGAGGCGGCGGCGAAGCTTGGGGGGGGGGGGACACCATAGGGGACAATGGGGCAGAGGCTTCACAGTTGGGGGGCACACACACACACACACACACACAAAGGGATGGGAGCCCCCCCCTAAGTGATGGGGGTGATGGAGAGGGCAAAGGGGGGAGCCCAGCAGCAGCAACGGGGCTGGGGACCCCCAACTGAGGGGATGGGGATACCATGGATCCCCCCCTAAAGGTGATGGAGGTTGGGTTGGGTACCCCCCAAAGGTGATGGAGGTTGGGTTGGGTACCCCCCCTAAAGGTGATGGAGGTTGGGTTGGGTACCCCCAAAGGTGATGGAGGTTGGGTTGGGTACCCCCCAAAGGTGATGGAGGTTGGGTTGGGTACCCCCCAAAGGTGATGGAGGTTGGGTTGGTTACCCCCCAAAAGTGATGGAGGTTGGGTTGGGAACCCTCAAAAGTGATGGAGGTTGGGTTGGGTACCCCCCCAAAGGTGATGGGGATCCTTCAGTGACCCCATGGAATGGTGGGGACGGAGCATGGGGTGCTGGGGATGCCGCAAGGAAGCCCCATGGGGCGGCACAAAGAGCTCGGGGGGGGTGGGTGAAGGAGCCACAGGGGCTCTCCTAAGAAGGGGGGGGGGAGATGGGATGTGGGTACCTCCAAAGTGATGGAGATGCCCCACGGATACCCCCCATGGTGGCAGAGATGACTCTGACATCTCCATAGCAACAGAAATGATGCAGGGACCTTCGTGGGGCAGGGAGCATCCCCAAAGGGATGGAGAGGATGCGGGAACCCCTTGGGATGGGGGGGGGGACAACGGGGTTGGGTACCCCCAAAGCACCCAATGGACACCTCCAGCACATCCAGGGCTGGGCAAAGCTGCCCTTGAGCCTCACCGGGAGCCCAGCGCATCCGAGAAATGGAGTGAAATGGGGGGGAGCACCCAAAATGTGTCAAAAACCATCCAAAACCATCCAAAAACCGCCAAAACCATCAAAAACCCGTCCAAAACCATCCAAAAACCATCCAGAACCATCCAAAACCATCCAAAAGCCATCCAAAACCGTCCAAAAACCATCCAGAACCATCCAAAACCATCCGAAAGCCATCCAGAACCATCCAAAAAGCCGCCAAAACCATCCGGAACCATCCGGAACCATCCGGAACCAACCAAAGCCATCAAGAACCCAAAAACATCAAAAAAAAAAAAAAAGCAAAAAGGAAACAAAAACATGAAAAAAAATAAACCACCATTCAAAAACCACCCAAAGAAATCAAAACCCATTCAAAAATCAAAACCACCAAAAATCATTTAAAAAAAAAAACAAAATAAGTATAAAAAAAGACATTTAAAAACCCTCAAATAAAAAAAAATCAGAACCCATCAGAAAGATGAAAATCACAAAAAAAAATCAAAACCCATCAAAACCCATCAAAAACCCCATCAATCCCCAAAAAGGAAAACTAAATCTCATAGAACCGTTCCAAACCATCCCCAAAAAGCTTCCAGGAACCCGAAGGCTCCATCCCAAAGCCATCAAGGAACCATCATCAAGTAACCACCATCCAGAATCCATCCAGGACTCATCCAGAATCCATTCAGAATCCATTCAGAATCCATCCAGGACCCATTCAGAATCCATTCAGAATCCATCCAGGACCCATTCAGAATCCATTCAGAATCCATTCAGAATCCATTCAGAATCCATTCAGAATCCATCCAGGACCCATTCAGAATCCATTCAGAATCCATTCAGAATCCATCCAGGACCCATTCAGAATCCATTCAGAATCCATCCAGGACCCATTCAGAATCCATTCAGAATCCATTCAGAATCCATTCAGAATCCATTCAGAATCCATCCAGGACCCATTCAGAATCCATTCAGAATCCATTCAGAATCCATCCAGGACCCATTCAGAATCCATTCAGAATCCATCCAGGACCCATTCAGAATCCATTCAGAATCCATTCAGAATCCATTCAGAATCCATTCAGAATCCATCCAGGACCCATTCAGAATCCATTCAGAATCCATTCAGAATCCATCCAGGACCCATTCAGAATCCATTCAGAATCCATTCAGAATCCATTCAGGACCCATCCAGGACCCATTCAGAATCCATCCAGGACCCATTCAGAATCCATCCAGGACCCATTCAGAATCCATTCAGGACCCATTCAGAATCCATCCAGAATCCACTCAGAATCCATCTAGGACCCATTCAGGACCCATCCAGGATGCATCCAGGACCCATCCAGAATCCATCCAGGACCCATCCAGAATCCATCCAGGACCCATCCAGCACCCACCCCAATCCCTTGCCCCCCTCCATCCCCCCCCAATCGACGAGCCCAAGAAGCCGATGGATAACGCTGACGGTGATGTTCAGAGGGGTGGGGGGGGATGCACAAGGAGGAGGAGGTGTTTTTGGGGGGGGGGGGTTCACAACGCGAGGAGCGAGGGGGAGCTCAGGGAGTCCGAGGATTGGTCGCTGCCGCTGCTCCGCTGATGCGAGGCTCCGCAGGAGGCTCCCTCTGGGTGGGTGAACACAAACGGAGACGCGGGGTTGGGGTTAAGCGGCGGGGGGGGCGGCGCGAAGCAGCAGCAGGCGGGGAAGGGACCCCCCCGGACGCCGGGCGCCGGCTCCTCCTTGCGGGGCGCGCTCACCTCGGCGGCCCCGAAGGGCAGCTTGCAGGCGGGAGCGTGCGCGGCCAGCACCAGCTCCAGCCGCTCCTTCTCCTTGCGCAGCTCCGCGATCTCCGACTCCAGCTCCGCCTTCTCCTCCTCCAGTTGGTCCGTTTCCTGCGGGGGGGGGACGGGGGGGGGACAGGGGGGTGGTCAGAGGAGGCAGACCTAAGGGGGGACGGGACACGGGACAATGCGGCTCCATCCCTGCAGCTCTGGGTACCACTCGGTGCGCATCCCTGGTCCCTGTATCTGTATGAGTCCGTCCTGCATCCCTGGTCCCTGTATCCATATGTGTCCATCCTGCATCCCTGGGTACCACTCGGTGCGCATCCCTGGTCCCTGTATCCATATGTGTCCATCCTGCATCCCTGGGTACCACTCGGTGCGCATCCCTGGTCCCTCTATCTATATGAGTCCTTCCTGCATCCCTGGTCCCTATATCCATATGTGTCCATCCTGCATCCCTGGGTACCACTCGGTGCTCATCCCTGCCCCCTGTATCCATATGTGTCCATCCTGCATCCCTCGGTGCTCATCCCTCGTCCCTGTATCCATATGTGTCCGTCCTGCATCCCTGGGTACCACTCAGTGCGCATCCCTGGTCCCTGTATCCATGGGGATCCATCCTGCATCCCTGGGTGCTCATCCCTGGTCCCTGTATCCATGGGGCTCCATCCCTGCATCTCTGGGTACCACTCGGTGCACGTCCCTGGTCCCTGTATCTATATGTGTCCATCCTGCATCCCTGGGTATCCCCTCTGTGCTCATCCCTGGTCCCTGTATCCATATGTGTCCGTCCTGCATCTCTGGGTACCACTCGGTGCTCATCCCTGGTCCCTGTATCCATATGTGTCCATCCTGCATCCCTGGGTACCACTCGGTGCTCATCCCTGCCCCCTGTATCCATATGTGTCCGTCCTGCATCCCTGGGTACCACTCGCTGCTCATCCCTGGTCCCTGTATCCATATGTGTCTGTCCTGCATCCCTCGGTGCTCATCCCGGGTCCCTGTATCCATATGTGTCCATCCTGCATTCCTGGGTACCCCTCTGTGCTCATCCCTGGTCCCTGTATCCATATGTGTCCATCCTGCATCCCTGAGTATCCCTCTGTGCTCATTCCATGTCCCTGGATCCATCCCATGTCCCTGCATCCAGCCCATGTCCTTGCATCCCTCTTTGCTCATCCCGTGTCCCTGCATCCATTGGTGCTCATCCCATGTCCCTGAGCCCAGCCTGGGTCCCTGCATCCCTGGGTATCCATCCTGCATCCGTGCATCCCTCTGTGCTCATCCCGTGTCCCTGCATCCATGGCTGCTCATCCCATGTCCCTGCACCCATGGTTGCCCGTCTGTCCTGCTCTGATGGACCTGCACCCATGGGTGTCCCTCTGTGCTCATCCCATATCCCTGCACCCATGGGTGTCCCTCTGTGCTCATCCCATATCCCTGCACCCGTGGGTGTCCTGGCCCCCTCTGATGTCCCCTGCCCATGCCTGCATCCCTGGATCTGCCTCCTTCCGATATCCCCAGCTCCATGGGCCATTGCTGTCCCGCTTCCATCATCCCATGCCCAGGGGACACCCTTGTCCCCCTCCAACACAGCAGCTCCTGGGCACGTCAGCCCCTTGGTGTCCCTTGTCTTGGGGATGCCACTGTCCCCATCCCCATTGACCGCTCCTCTTCCAACCAACCCGACTGAGCTTTCCTCTTCCAATTCCCTGGAGACACCATGGTCCCAATGGCCTCAACTCAACGCATCTCCTTCCAATGGCCTCAACTCAGTGTGTCCTCTTCCAATGGCCTCAAATCAACCCATCTCCTTCCAATGGCCTCAACTCAACCCATCTCCTTTCAATGGCCTCAGCTCAAGCCATCTCCTTCCAATGGCTTCAACTCAACCCATCTCCTTCCAATGGCCTCAACTCAGTGAGTCCTCTTCCAATGGCCTCAACTCAACACATCTCCTTCCAATGGCTTCAATTCAACCCATCTCCTTTCAATGGCCTCAGCTCAACCCATCTCCTTCCAATGGCCTCAACACAAGCCATCTCCTTCCAATGGCTTCAATTCAACCCATCTCCTTCCAATGGCCTCAACTCAACCCATCTCCTTCCAATGGCCTCAACCCATCTCCTTTCAATGGCCTCAGCTCAACCCATCTCCTTCCAATGGCCTCAACACAAGCCATCTCCTTCCAATGGCCTCAACTCAATGTGTCCTCTTCAATGTCCTCAACTCAACCCATCTCCTTCCAATGGCCTCAACTCAATGTGTCCTCTTCAATGTCCTCAACTCAAACCATCTCCTTCCACCGGTCTCAACCAAACTCGTCCCCTTCCAACTCAACCCAATGCAACCCATCCTTTTCCACCTAAACTCAGCCATCCCCATCCAACCCAACCCAACCCCCCCCCCATCCCTCTCACTCACCGCCTGCAGCCGATCTGTCAGCTCCCGGCGCCGGTTCCGGCACTTGGCCGCCGCCAGCTTGTTCCTCTCCCGGCGCACCCGGCGCTTCTCCTCCTCCTCCGGCGTCAACTGCCCAATGGGATGGCACCATGAGCCTGGTGACCCCCCTGGCCCCACCCCCCCCCCATAATCCCACCCCATGGCACTCACCGTCTCCTCGCGGCTGCGCCGGGGCCGCACGCGGCTGGGCCGTGCCGGTGGTGCCGGTGCCGCGCTGAAGCCGCCCATGCCCGGTGTGGAGTAGCTGGGTCCTGGCAGGTCATAGGGATCGAGGGGAGGGGGATGCGCCATGGGGGCCCCCGGAGGCTGCGATTGGGCCACCGAGGAGATGAGGGTGGGTTGCACCAGCCACTGCAGGTCCTGGCTGGTGGTGATGGCCGTCACCGTGGGCACGAAGGAGCCGGGCATGTCCCCCAGCGCGCCGCACTCCTGTGGGGGTATGGAAGGGGTCAGAGCCATGGGGCAGAGCCCCCGGTGCCACCTCATGTGCCTGGAACCCACGTGCAGGAGGTCCTGGCACTGATGCACAACGGCCTCGTGCCCTGGTACCCGTGTGCAGTGATGCCCATGATGCCCTCATACCCGTGTGCAATGATGCCCTCAAGTCCCTGGTACCCGTGTGCAATGATGCCCTAGAGTCCCTAACACTGATTTATGCCACCCTCAATACTCTGGTACCCATGTGCAATGATGCCCTCAAGTCCCTGGTACCTGTGTGCAATGATGCCCTAGAGTCCCTAACACTGATTTATGCCACCCTCAATACTCTGGTACCCATGTGCAATGATGCCCTCAAGTCCCTGGTACCTGTGTGCAATGATGCCCTCAAGTCCCTGGTACCCATGTGCAATGATGCTCTTGAGTCCCTAGCACTGATTTATGCCACCCTCAATATTCTGGTACCCATGTGCAATGATGCCCTCAAGTCCCTGGTACCTGTGTGCAATGATGCCCTCAAGTCCCTGGTACCTGTGTGCAATGATGCCCTAGAGTCTCTAGCACTGATTTATGCCACCCTCAATACTCTGGTACCCATGTGCAATGATGTCCTCGAGTCCCTGGCACTGATTTACACCACTCTTATACCCCTGGCACTGATGCACAACAGCCTCGTGCCCTGGTACCCGTGTGCAATGATGCCCTCAAGTCCCTGGTACCAACGTGCAATGATGCCCTTGAGTCCCTGACACTGATCTACCCCAGCCTTGATATGCTGGTACCCATGTGCAATGATGCCCTTGAGTCCCTAGCACTGATTTACACCACTCTTATACCCCTGGCACTGATGCACAACAGCCTCGTGCCCTGGTACGCGTGTGCAATGATGCCCTTGAGTCCCTAGCACTGATTTATGCCACCCTCACTACTCTGGTACCCATGTGCAATGGTGCCCTTGAGTCCCTGGCACTGATGCACAACAGCCTCATGCCCTGGTACCCATGTGCAATGGTGCCCTTGAGTCCCTGGCACTGATGCACAACAGCCTCATGCCCTGGTACCCGTGTGCAAGCCCCCACCCAGCCACACCGTGCCCTCATGCACGATCCCCCCCTACCTAAGGGTCTGCCCTATGCACCCCTTTTCCCTTGAAGAGAATGGGGACCCCTTAAATCCCCCCCCAGCACCCCAAAAACGGGGTGGGGGGGCGCCCATACACCCTCCAGGGGCTGGTTGGCATTGAACCCCCCCGGTACCACTGGGGTCCGTTATAATGGGGGGGGATGCTTGACAACACACCCCCCCCATTCACCCTTTTTTGGGGGGGGATGTTCGACGACACCACCCCCCATTCAGCCTTTTTTTGGGGGGGATGCTCAACACCCCGCTCCCCATTCACCGTTTTGGGGGGGGGGGGCGCGCACATGCTAGTGCGTCATTATGCCAGCAGAGGGCGCAGCAGCGCTGAGCGAGGGGGGCGTGGCCACGCGGGGAGGGGGCGTGGCTTCCCACAACCTCCTCCGGAGTTTGTTGCTAGGCAACGGGTGGGGGGGGGTGGTTGGCGGCGGTGTCTAAAATAGCCCCGCGCGCGCCGTACGTGCGCCGCGTCATCACGGCGGGCTCCCCGCGCGCGCGTCACGCCGTTTACGCACGACCCCGCCCTCTCCGCCCCGTTCCCATCCCTCCCCATTCACAAACCAGGAGCCGCTCACGGCCGCCCCCTACCGGCGCACGCACGCAGTCACGCACGCACGCACGCACGCACCCACCTGAGCCGCCGCTGCCGCCGCCGCCGCCGCTGCCGCTGCGGGGCTACCGAAGGAATCGACCGAGGAGAGGTACTGGGACTCGGCCGAGGGGGAGGAGCTGCACCGGGAGCCCGAGTCGTAGTCCCCGGGGAAACCCTGGTACATGGCCCCGGGGCCGCGGGGGCCGCCCCGCCGCGCCAAGGCTGCGGGTCACGCTACCGGCATCCCCCCGGGCAGCCGCCTCCCCGGTGAACGGGGGGGGTCAGTTCGGGGCCTCCGGAGCAGCGGCTCTGGGTCGCCGGTACAAAGCCCTGGAAGCGCTGCTGGAAGCCCCGGGGTGTTCGTCCCAAGGTCCGGGGTGTCCCGTATAAAGCTCCGGTTCGCTGCTATAAGCCCCGGTGTGGAGGTCCCAGGCTTGAGGTCTCCGGTACAAAGCCCCGATTGGCTGCTCCAAGCCGCCGTGCAGCCGCTATAAGCCCCGAGCCAGGCTCCGGTGAGAGGCTACGAGCCCCGGTGCGTCCGTGCCAGGCTCCGGTTCACTGCTATAACCCCCGGTGCGTCCGTGCCAGGCTCCGGTTATCCCCTATAAGGCCCCGGTTCGGCCGTGCCAAACTCCGGTTGTCCGGTAGAAAGCCCCGCTCCGCTGCTATAACCCCCGGTGCGTCCGTGCCAGGCTCCGGTTATCCGATAGAAAGCACCGCTTCGCCTCTACCAACCCCTCCGTATCCGTCCCCCGGGCTCCGGATCTCCGGTGCAAAGTCCCGGTCGAGCCGCTGCAAGCTCCGGTAAATCCCTTCCCAGGCTCCGGTCCTGCCGTTACGAGCCCCGATACATCCAATCCGCCGGTGCAAAGTCCGGTCGAGCCCGATCCCCGCCGCTCTCCCCCCGCTCTCCGCTATTTTATGAATGAACCGCTCGCCCGCCGCGCCGGCACTTTATACGGCGAGGCTCCGCCCCCCGCGCTGACGTCACGGCCCCCGCCGCCGCTATCCCGGGACCCCCGGGACCCTCCGGACCCCGCGGTCGCCGTCGCCGCTGTCGCCGCCGCCGTTCTGAGGCCCCTGGAGCCGCCGCCGCCGTTAAGAGGCTCCGCAACGGGCGGGGAACGGGGGGGATCCCTCGCTCCGCCCCCTCCGGAGTTCCTGTGACGCAATTAGCCATATATGGGCTTGTCTCGGAGTGTTTGTTTGGTATCCTAGCAATGACGTCACAGGGAATCCCTTCGCCGCCGCCGCCGCCGCCGAAAACGCGTATTAATAGAAACGGCCGCCGCGGTTCTAGAAACGGCCTGAACCGTCCGGGCCCCAACGCCGGTGACTCCCCGGTGACCCCCCCGGTAACCCCCCCGCGACCCCCCCTCTGACCCCCACCCCCCCCCTTTACACCCCCCCCCCATGACCCCCTTTTTCCCCTCCGGTAACTCCACCCCCCCTGCCCTCCGGAAACCCCCGTTAACCCCCGGTAACTCCTAAAGGACCACCCCGGGGGGGGGGGCGATGCCCCGGTCCCAGGCACTGACCCTATTGATGGTGGGGGGGATATCCCGGTAACGGAGGGGGGGGGGCGCACACCGGGAGTGCGGTCCCGGGGTACCGGGCCACGGTCCATGGAGAGATGGGGGGGGTCCCAGCCAACCAGAGCCTCCCTTGGGGGGGGGTCCGGTCCTGTTGTCCTGGTATTGGACACCGGGGGCTGATGTCACCGGCGGGAACCGACGCTGAGTCACGGTGGGGCCACCGGGAGATGGGGGGAGGGGGGGTGTGGGAGCCGTTCCCACGCCCCCTCATTCATTCATTCATTCATTCATTCATTCATTCATTCATCGGTCGTTTATTCATCAGGGCAAGTCCCGCCCCCAAGGCGGAGGGGTGGGGCCGGAGGGGGGGGGCGGCCCCGATGTTGTCCCGGTGATGTCCCGGTGGTGTCCCGAGGTTCCCGTTTGTTGTCCCCGGGGTTCTCAGCCCCCGGTTTCGGTCCCAGTCCCGGCCGGGCTCTCCGTTGTCCCGGTGTTCCCGTATCCCTGTCCTGGTCCTGGTATCCCTGTGCTGGTCCCAGTCCCGGTGTTCCCGTATCCCTGTCCTGGTCCCTGTATCCCTGTCCTGGTCCCAGTCCCGGTGTTCCCGTATCCCTGTCCTGGTCCCGGTATCCCTGTCCTGGTCCCAGTCCCCGTGTTCCGGCATCCCTGTCCTGGTCCTGGTATCCCTGTCCTGGTCCCGGTATCCCTGTCCTGGTCCCGGTATCCCTGTCCTGGTCCCAGTCCTGGTGTTCCCATATCCCTGTCCTGGTCCCGGTATCCCTGTCCTGATCCCAGTCCATGTGTTCCGGTATCCCTGTCCTCGTCCCGGTATCCCTGTCCTGGTCCCAGTCCCGGTGTTCCGGCATCCCTGTCCTGGTCCTGGTATCCCTGTCCTGGTCCCAGTCCCGGTGTTCCCGTATCCCTGTCCTGGTCCTGGTATCCCTGTCCTGGTCCCAGTCCCGGTGTTCCCGTATCCCTGTCCTGGTCCCGGTATCCCTGTCCTGGTCCCAGTCCCGGTGTTCCAGTATCCCTCTCCTGGTCCCTGTATTCCGGTGTCTCGGGATCCGGCCGGCTTACCCCCATTGTCCTGGTACCTTGCTCTCACCAGGCTCTCCCCGGTATCCCAGCCCCGGTATCCCGGTCCCAGACGGGTTCCCTCCGGGTCCCTGTGTCTCGGGGTCCAGCCGGGTTCTCCCCATCTCCCGCTATCCCAGTGTCCTTGTCCCATCTTCTGTGTCCCTGCCCCCGTCCCGGTGTCACCGGGCTCTCTCTGTTGTCCCTGTCTTTGTTCCGTTCCTGGCCCGGTCCCCCTCGGTGTTCAGGTGTCCCTGTCCCCATATCCCTGTGTCACTGTATCCTGGTGTCCCAGTGTCCCCATATCCCGGTCTCCCCATATCTACGTATCCCGGTCCCCATCCCCGTATCCCAGTTCCTATCAATGTATCCCGGTGTCCCCGTATCTCCGTATCCCGGTCCCCATCCCTGTATCCCGGTCCCTCTCCCGTTCGCTGCTAGCTCTCTTGCACCCCCCCCCCCGCTGTAAACACGCTCGTGTCGCCGGGCGACGGCGTTCCATGCCGGTGACGTCACCACGTCCGGCGTCCCGTGTTTACGTCGCGCGGCAACCGCCGTGGCCTTGGCAACGGGGCGGGGCGTGGCCAGCACCCGACCGAGGGGGCGTGGCCAGGCTGGGAAAGGGGCGGGGCTTGCGCCGCCGGGTTCCCACGCGTTCCGCGGCGCTGGCGGAGGGCACGGCGGGGTCACGGGGGGGGGCGCAGGGTCACGCGGGGGTCACCACTGCCCCCCCTTTACCCCCCCCCCCGTGTCCCCAAATCCACCCCGCTTGTCACAAGAGTCTTTATTAAAGTGGGGACCCCCCCACACGACGTGGGGGGGGGACCCCGGTTCCTTCCCCCCCTTCCCCGTTGTCACCTTGGGGGGGGGGCACAAGTTGGGGTTCACTTCGGCTTCGCTTTGGCACTGGGGAGCTTGGCCTGGATCCTGTGGGAGAGTGAAGATGGGGGGGGTGGGGAGCCTCAACCCCACCCCCCATTGGGGCACCCCATAACCCCCCCTCCCCCCCCACGAGTGGGTTTGGGGGTGAGGGGGGCTCTGACCTGGCCCGGAGGTTGCTCAGGTGGCTCCGCACCAGGGTCACGTACTGGTCAATCTGGGCCTGGGGACATGGGGGGAATTGGGGACATGGTGAGCAATTGGGGGCATGGGGGGGGCGGGACCCCCATGTCTCCCCCCCCATATCATCCCCCCCCTCCGTACCTGGTGGTGCCGGTAGAGCACGGGGAAGGTGAAGGCGCAGATGACGCCTGGGTGGGCAGCAGCTCGTCAGGCACCGGGTGCCCATGGTGTCCCCATGGCAACCCCATCCCATGTCCCCATCCCATGTCCCCATCCCATGTCCCAATGGTGTCCCCATCCCATGTCCCCATAGCATCCTCATTCCATGTCTCCATGGCTACCCCATCCCGTGTCCGCATCCCATGTCCCCATTCCATGTCCCCATAGCATCCCCATCCCATGTCCCCATAGCATCCTCATTCCATGTCCCCATAGCATTCCCATCCCATGTCCCCATCCCATGTCCCCATAGCATCCTCATTCCATGTCCCCATGGAGTCCCCCTCCCATGTCCCCATCCCTTGTCCTCATCACATTCCTACCCCTATCCCATTCCCATCCCCATCCCTTGTTGTCCCCATCACATCCCTATTCCTATCCCATTCCCATTCCCATCCCATCCTGTCCTCATCCCCTCTCCATCCCATCCCCATCCCGTCCCCATCCCATCCCCATCCCCACCCCATTCCCACCCCATCCCTACCGGCTCCCAGCAGCGTCAGCCCGTTGCAGACGGCCCCCACATAGGTCAGCAGGTAGAACAAGAAGGCGAACTGTGCCCAGAGCCACCATTGGCACCGGCACTGCCAGCCCCACATCCCCCCAGCCCCACATCCGCCCCACATCCCCCCACATCCCCCCCAGCCCCCCATCCCCCCCCATCCCCCCACATCCCCCCAGCCCCACATCCCCCCCATCCCCCCCCATCCCCCCCATCCCCCCACATCCCCCCCACATCCCCCCACATCCCCCCAGCCCCACATCCCCCCACATCCCCCCAGTCCCCCATCCCCCCCATCCCCCCCCATGTCCCCACCTTGAGGGACTCGGGGACGCTGTGCACCAGGAAGAGCCGCGCCAGGGTCCGTTCGGCCGCGCTCAGGTGCCGGGCGAGGCGCCGGGCCCAGCGCTGCTGCTCCTCGGGGCTCAGCCCCACTGCGGCCTCCGGCGGCTCCCTATGGGGCAGGGACAGGATGGGGGGGGGGGTAGGACCGCGTTGGGACTGCGGGGATAGGGATGTCCCATGGTGGATGCGGGGGGGGGAACCCCTTTGGGACCGTGGGGATGGGGATGCCCCATAGGGACATTGGTGACCCCATCGGGACCGTGGGGATGGGGCTGCCCCATAGGGCCCCATTGGTACCGTGGGGATGGGTCTGCCCCATAGGGCCCCATTGGTACCATGGTTCCGCCCCATGGAGCCCGGTGTAGGGGGGGTGCAGTTCCGGTACTCACCGCGAGGCGGCGGCAGCGGGGCCCGAGCGCAGCGCCCGCAGCGCCCCCTGGTGGAGACGCCGGGGCAGCGTCACCGCCAGCACCGCCAGGGCCCCGTAGGCGCCGACGCTGACGGCGCTGAAGCGCGCGAGGGAGCCGAGCCCCGCCAGCAGCGCGAGCAGCACCAGGGCCGAGCGCGAGGGGTCCCGCCACAGCAGCAGCTCCCGCACTGCGGAGACCAGTGCGGACCAGTTCATACCAGTTCAGACCAGTTCATACCAGTGCATCAGCCCAGTGCATCCCAATGGAGACCCAGTGCATCCCAGTTGATCCCAGTGGAACCCACTGCATCCCAATGGAGCCCAGTGCATCCCAATGGAACCCAATGGAACCCCACTAGCGCGAGCAGCACCAGGGCCGAGCGCGAGGGGTCCCGCCACAGCAGCAGCTCCCGCACTGCGGAGACCAGTGCGGACCAGTTCATCCCAGTTCAGACCAGTGCATCCCAATGGAGACCAATGGAGACCCAGTGCATCCCAGTGCATCCCAATGGAGACCCAGTGCATCCCAATGAACCCCCACTGCATCCCAATGGAGCCCAGTGCATCCCAATGGATCCCCATTGCATCCCAACGGATCCCAATGCATCCGAATGGATCCCAGTGCATCCCAAAGAGCTCTCATTGCATCCCAATGGATCCCAGTGCATCCCAATGAGCCCCCATTGCAACCCAGTGCAGCAACTCCCACACTGCAGGGACAGTGGCGATGAGCACCCCCCTTTGCATCCCAGTAGCCCCCAGTAACCCCCACTCCTCCCACTGCCCTCCTGGAGACCTCCCAGTGCCCCACATTGCCCACATTGCCCCACATTGCCCTCATTACCCCCCATTGCCCCCAGTGCCCACATTGCCCCCATTACCCCCCATTGCCCCCCCAGTGCCCCCATTGTCCCCATTGCTCCCCACTGCCCAGTGCCCCCATTACCCCCATTACCCATAGCCCCCATTACCCCCATTACTCCCCATTGCCCCCCACTGGTCCCATTGCCCGGTGCCCCCCCCACCCTGTCTCTCCATGGCTCCCGCTGGCGCTGCCGGGGGGGGGCCCGGGGGGGGGTCACCCCTATTTTTAGCAGCCAATCAGGAGCCGCCTCCCGGGTCCTCCCCGCAACCGGACCCTGGGGCCCCCCCCCTCCCGCCCCCCGCGGCGCTGATTGGCTGCTCACCCAGCACATCAGCGCCCGCCGGGCTCGCTGATTGGTCGGGGGGCGCAGGAGGCGGGTCCGGGGTCGGGGGGGGGTCCGGAGGGGGTGCGGGGGGGGCCGGTTGTGGGGAGCCCCCTGCGGGCTGAGGGGGGGCTGCTGAGGGAATGGGGGGGTCAAAGGGTTATGGGGACCCCCCTATGGCACCGAGGCCACATTGGGGACCCCCCCATTGCTCCCAGAACCCCCCCTTAGGGACCCCTCATTCCCCCCCTTTAACCCCCCCCATTGCCCCCGGCTCCCCTTGAGGACCCCCCCCATGAACCCTCATCACCCCCCCATTGCCCCCAGCCCTCCCTTGGGGACCCCCCCCATGACCACCATGACCCCCATAGGCACCCCCATGCCCCCCCATGAGCTCCAATTGCCCTCACACCCCCTTAGGGACCCCCATGTCCGTCCCCCCCCAAACTTCCCCCATACCCGGCCTCATCGGGGGCTCCTCCATCTCGGGGCCCCCCCCCACCTCCGGCCGCCCCTCGGGGGGTGCGGGGGGGTCCCCGGGCCGCTTTAGGGGGGCTCTGACCCCTAAATTGGGGTCCAGCCCTCGGGAGGGGGGCCCTGAACCCAAGCGGGGGGGGCGGCCCCGGCGGGGGTCCCGGCGGCATCGGGGGCCCGGTTCGGTTTGTGGGGCGCTGCCCCCCCCCCCAAAGGCGATGTAGGAGAAGGTGAGCTCGCGGGGGGGGGTCCGAGGGGGGGTCCCCCCATCTTCATCCTCCTCTTCCTCCTCGGGGGGCTCCGGGGCCGCTGCAAGCTCGGGGGGGAACTCGGGCTCCTCGGGGCCACCTTTGGGGGGGGGGATGAGGAGTGGGGGGTCAAGGGGGGAGGGGGTTGGGGTTCCCCCCCCCTAAATCTGCACCCCCAAAGGGGGGGGTCGGCCCCGCTCACCCTCCGTGGAGTCCGGGGTGGTGGAGGCCGTGGACGGAGCCTCTTCTGGAGGGGGGGGGGGCACAAAGGGGTGGGGGGGCTGTAGGGAACCCCCGTGTCCCGGCACCCCCAAATTGGGTGGGTCCCCCATCCCCGGTACCCCCCATACCCGGTCCGTCCATCCCGGTACCCCCCATCCCCGGTCCCTCCATCCTGATACCCGAATCCTCGGTACCCCCCATCCCCGGTACCTGCATCCCTGGTACCCCCTATCCCCAGTCCCTCCATCCCGGTACCCCCCATCCCCGGTCCCTCCATCCCGGTACCCGTCATCCCCGGTACCCTCATCCCCGGTCCCTCCATCCCGATACCCGCATCTTCGGTACCCTCATCCCCGGTACCCCCCATTCCGATACCCACATCCCCGGTCCCTCCATCCCGATACCCGCATCCCCGGTACCCCCATCCCCTGTATCCCTCATCCCCTGTACCCCCCATCCCGGTACCCGCATCCTCGGTCCCTCCCTGTGCATCCTCCCCGGTTATCCCTGTCCTCGGACCCTCCCTGTCCCCCCCATTCCCGAACCAGTGCCCTGGTGTCCCCCCCCCCACTCCGGTCCCTCCCCATTCCCGGTTCCCCCATTCCCGGCCACTCCCGGTCCCCCCCCATCCCCGGTTCCCCATTCCCGGTGCTCACATCCCCGCTCCCTCCTCATTCCCCATCCCTATTCCCCCATCCCCGGTTCCCCATCCCCGGCTCCTCCCGGTTCATCCCTCCCGATCCCGATCCCGATCCCGATCCCGGTCCCCTCCATCCGCAGCCCCCCGGTTCCTACTGCAGTGGGCGAAGCCCAGGACCTGCCCCATGGCGCCGGTCCCTGCATGAGGCTCCCGGTTCCCCTCGGCCCCGTTATCCCCGGGCCGGCCCCGCCGCCCATCACCGCTCCGCCATGGCGGGGCCCGCGGCAACGGCGGCGGACAAAGGGCGGCGGCGCCGGGGGCGGGGCTAACAAAGGGCGGGGCTCGGGGCGGGACCGAAGGGAACCGGGAATCGGGATCCGGGATCGGGACCGGAAACCGGGACCGGGATTCGGGCACCGACACCGGGAACCAGCCCCGGGCCCAGGGCTCCGGTGGGGCGTGGCCTTGTGGAGGGGGCGTGGCCTCGGGTGGGGACCGTCCGGTCCTTCCCCCACCCCCCTCCGCCCCGGTCGCTGCTACCGGAAGGGCCCGGTCTGGCCCCAGCGTCGCCGCCGGCAGCATGAGGTGAGCAGCAGGGATGGGAGCACCGGGAATACCGGGAACCGGCTGGGGGGGCACTGGGAACACCGGGAATACCGGGAACGGGAAGCGGGGGGCACCGCGAATAACAGGAACTGGAACCGGGGGGCATCGGGAATACCGGGAATGGGAAGCGGGAGCACCGGGAACACCGGGAATACTGGGAATACCGGGAATACCGGGAACGGGAAGCGGGGAGCACTGGGAATAACAGGAACTGGAACCGGGGGGCATCGGGAATACCGGGAACGGGAAGCGGGAGGCACCGGGAACACCGGGAATACTGGGAATACCGGGAATACCGGGAACGGGAAGCGGGGAGCACTGGGAATAACAGGAGCTGGCACTGGGGGGTATCGGGAACACCGGGAATACTGGGAATACCGGGAACGGGAAGCAGGAGGCACGAGGCACCGGGAACACCGGGAATACCGGGAAGGGGAAGCGGGAGGCACTGGGAACACAGGGAATACCGGGAAGGGGAAGCGGGAGGCACTGGGAACACAGGGAATACCGGGAAGGGGAAGCGGGAGGCACCGGGAACACCGGGAATACCGGGAATACCGGGAATAGGCTTCCCGGGGGCACCGGGAATAGCGGGAACAGGAACCGGGGAGCACTGGGAATAACAGGAACTGACACCGGGGGGTATTGGGAACACCGGGAACACCGGGAACCGGCTGCGGGGCGGGGGGGTACTGTGAACACCGGGAATACCGGGGACTGGAACCGGGGAGCACTGGGAGTAGTGGAGGCACCGGCAAGCACCGAGCATCGGTACCGGGAGCCCCGGGAAGGGGCCCTGGGGGACACCGGGGGCACCGGGAGCCGGTCCCGGTCCGAAGCGGGACTCGGGGGGGGGGGGGGCACCGGGTCCGCTCCCCCCCCCCCGCTCCCGGATGTGGCAGCCCCGTGGAGAAGAGGAAGGAAAAGGGGGGGGGGGGCAGCATCCGGGGGTGCCCCAGTGCTGGTAACGGGGGGGGTCCCTATAATAGGGGTCCCCAGCACCCATGGGTGTCCCCAGCACCCATGGGTGCCCCCGGTCCTGTCCTATCCCCCCCCCGGCAGTGAGCGGGTGCTGTGCAGCGCCAGGGCGGCCGTGCTGCTCTATGATGAGCCCCATAAGCAGTGGGTGCCGGCGGGGGGGGGCCCCCAAGCCCTGAGCTGTGTCCAGCTCTTCCATCATCCCGGCACCCATGGATTCCGATTGGTGGGGCGCAAGATGCAGCCTGACCAGCAGGTGAGGCACCCATGGGTGCTGGGGGGTATGGGTACCTATGGGTGCTGGGGGGGTATGGGTGCCTATGGGTGCTGGGGGGGTATGGGTACATATGGGTGTTTGGGGGGTATGGGTACCTATGGGTGCTGGGGGGGTATGGGTGCCTATGGGTGTTTGGGGGGATGGGTGCCTATGGGTTTGGGGGGTATGGTGCCTATGGGTGTTTGGGGGGTATGGGTACCTATGGGTGCTGGGGGGGTATGGGTACCTATGGGTGCTTGGGGGGTATGGGTGCATATGGGTGTTTGGGGGGTATGGGTACCTATGGATGTTGGGGGGGTAAGGGCACCCATGGCTGCTGGGGGGTTATGGGTAACTATGGGTGCTTGGGGGATATGGGTGCATATGGGTGCTTGGGCGGGGTAAGGGCACCCATGGGTGCTTGGGGGGGGGATATGGGCACCCATGGGTGCTGGGGGGTCTCTGGGGTTCTCCATGGAGCACCCATAGGCTCTGGTCTCTCTGTTGGTACCCTTGGGCTCTGCTCTCCCTATGGGCACCCATGGGCTCTGTGTTCCCTATGGGGCCCCCCTAGGCTCCGCTCTCCCCACGCCCCCCTCTGGCGCTGCCGCCTCACGGGCGCCCCCTGGTGCCGCTGTCCCGCAGGTGGTGCTGAACCTGCCCCTGCCGCGGGGGCTGCGCTACTGCGCGGTGACGCCGCGGTTCCACCAATGGCGGGAGGGGCGGCGGCTCTGGGGGCTCAGCTTCGGGGCCCCCCGCGAGGCCGCCGCCTTCGCCGACTCCGTCCTCGGGGCGCTGCGGGCGCTGGGCGAGGGTGAGGAGGGGGGGTCGGGGACCCTGACCCCGCCGTGACCCCACCTTGACCCCCCATGACCCTGAGACCCCCCCGGTGACCCCACCTTGACCCCCTGGTGACCCTGAGATCCCCCATGACCCCACCTTCCCCCCCCATGACCCCACCTTTACCCCCACGTGACCCCACCTTGACCCCCCATGACCCTGAGACCCCCCCGTGACCCCCACCTTGACCCCCTGGTGACCCTGAGATCCCCCATGACCCCACCTTCACCCCCCCGACCCCACCCTGACCCCCTGGTGACCCCACCTTGACCCCCCAGTGACCTTGAGACCCCCCCATGACCCCACCTTGAGACCCCACCTTGACCCCCACCATGACCTTGAGACCCCCATGACCCTGAGACCCCCCCATGACCCCACTTTGACCCCCTCATGCCACTGAACCCCCTCAATAACCCTGACCCCCCCCCTCCATGACCCCACCTTGAACCCCCCCTCAGGCACCCCCGTTTCCTGGCCAGACCCCGACAGTGCAGAAGACCCCGACCCCCAGGAGAGGTGGGTGCCTCCCCCCCCTTCAATTTGTGGGGTGCCCCCCCCAATGGGTGCTGACCCCCCCCAACCCCCCTCAGGCAGCCACTGGAGGACCCCGAGCACCACGTGGCGGCCGCAGGTAGGTGATGGGAGGGGGGGGAACACCCCAAAACTGACCTGGGGTCACCCCATAACCCCCTCCAACTCCATAACCCTCCCCAGGCCCCCCCGCTGGAGCCCCCCCGCCGGCCCCCCCTGGTCCCCCCCCACCGCCGGGACCCCCCCCACCTCCTGCCCCTCCCCCAGCCGCAGGGATGCTGGGGCCCCCCCCGTTATCGGGGGCTGCGGGGGGTGGGGGGGGCTCCGGTTTCGCTGCTGCCATCGCGGGGGCCAAGCTCCGGAGGGTCAAGGTGAGGGCAATGAATGGGGGGGGGTGGGGTGTCAATGGGGTGGGGAGGGGGCTCGGTTTCACCCCCCCCCTTTGTCACAGCAGGAGGAAGCAGCGGGGACCCCCCCTGCAGCCCCCAAGGGTGACGGCGCCCGGGGGGGCACCGGGGGTGGGGGATTGATGGAGGAGATGAATGCGATGCTGGCCCGAAGGTGAAGGGGGGGGCAGGATGGGGAGGTGGGGGGGACCCCCTCAAATGGGGGCACCCTCAAATGGGGGTGGCCGCGCTGACCCCCTATTTGCCCACCCCCCCCAGGAGGAAAGCCACGCTGCAGGGGGACAAACCAGCGCCGAAGAGGGACGATGACGTCACCAACGTCAGTGCCTCCCCCCCCAAAACACCAATTCGGGGGTCTTTTTCCCCCCCCCAAAAATACCAATTTGGGGGGATTTTATCCCAAAATACCGATTTTGGGCCTCCCACCCCCCCCCAAAATAACGATCTAGGATCTTCGTCCATCCCCCCCCCCCTCGTGTCCCCCCCTCCGTGTCCCCCCCAACCCGGACCCTTCGCTCTTCTCCCCGCAGGGCGAGGCGGAGCCGGGCACTAGGACCCAGGGGCAGCCCGCGGGTGAGCGGCGGGGACTACAACTCCCAGCATGCCCTGCGGCGCACTCCTGTTGCTGGGCATGATGGGAAATGTAGTCCAGGGTGGGGGGCAGCGATTGAGGGGGCTTAGGGGAGTTTGGATGCGTTTGAGGGCGTTTAAACCGGTTTAGGGGGAGTTTGAGGGCGTTGAGGGGGGTTTTGTGGGGTTTGGAATGGGATTGTTTGGGTTGGGGGGGTATTTTTGTGGTCACCCCTCAGCCAGTGCCCTCTCAACACAGAACCCATGCGGAGGCCGTGGGAGAAGGGGAGCAACACGCTGCCCAGGTGGGTTTTGGGGGGCAGTTTGGGAGGCTCCAAGTAGGTTGGGGGGGTCCCCAACTTATTTCTTCTCCCCCCCCCCGCCCATAACCCAGGATGAAGTCGGCTGCTCCAGCTGCCCCCAGTGACCCCCCTGCTCCCAGTGAGGAGCCTGAACTGGAGCGAATCAAACAGGTACTGAGGGAGGGGGGCAATTGGGGAAGGGGGGGTCGGGGGTCCCCCTAAATTCATTCTCATCCTGTTGCCCCCCCTCTTTGCCCTAGGAGCTGCTGGAGGAGATGAGGAGGGAGCTGCAGAAGATGAAGGAGGAGATCATTGAAGGTGGGGGGCAATGGGGGGCTCATTGGGGGGAGTCCTTGGGGGGGCAATGGGAGGTTTCAATGGGGGGTAATGGGGAAGTCGGGAGGGGGCAATGGGGGTGCTTAGGGGGGCAATGGGGGGTTATTGCTGACCCCCCCCATGACACTGCCTTCCCCTCCCCAGTCTTTGTGATGGAGCTGAGGAAGCGGAGCCTGCCCTGACCCCCCCCACGACCCCAGATTTGGGGGTGCGGGGGGGTCCCTACACCTCCCTCCCCCCTTCGACCACCCTGGGCACCCCCCAGGCTGTGCCTTACCGCTTTGGGGGGGGCCCCAGCAGCCCCCCCTATCACTGTGCCCCCCACCCCCCTCCCCCAACACTTCAGGGATCTCCTTTTTAGGCCACTTTTGGGTTTTTCACCTTTTTTTGGGGGGGCTTATTTTGGGGTGACCCCCCCCGCAATAAACACGGTTTTGTACATGACCCCCCCCACCCCGTGTCCTCGCGTCACCTTTACCCCCCCCTCCACCTTCCCACTGGCTACTATAAGCCAACACCCCCGGGCACTGACCCCGCCCACAAAGCGCAAACCACGCCCCTCGGGGGGGACGCATGAGCACCAATCACAGTTTAATGGGCGTGGCCACGCGCGGCGGGCGCGGGGTTCGAACCCGAGGGGGCGTGGTTTGCCGCCGCGTGGGCGGGCGCGGGGTTGGATCCCGAGGGGGCGTGGTTTGTCGCCGCTTGGGCGGGCTTATCGCCCGTAGGGGCGGGGCTCTCCCCCTCGGGGGCGTGTCCAGCGGGGTGATTTCCCACCAAGGCCTCGACCTGGCGCTGGAGGCGGTCGAGGCGGTCGCGCAGGTCCCGCATGGCCGCCGCTTGCTCCTCCTCCCGACGCCGGGCGGCCCCGGCCTGCCTCGCGTACTCGAGGTAAAGGCAGAGCCCCCCGACGCCGAAAACGATGGCTTCGCCCAGGAGCTCGGCCCCCAGCTCCGCCGCCGCCTCCTCGTTCAGCGGCTTCACCGCCGCGCCGCGGAAGCCCATCAGCCGCATCTTGGCGCGCATCTCCACCCAGTGGTACACTGCCATGGGCGCCGCGTTAACACCCACCCCCCCGGCACTGATCACATTGGTACTGACCAGGCCCCAGTACATACCCAGTGACCCTCCTCCTAATCCCATTGACCTCCCTATACCCACTGCCCACTCCCATTCCCAATGACCCCCCCATTCCCAATGACCCCTCCCATTCCCAATGCACCCCATTCCCAGTGACCCCTCCACTCCCATTGCTACCCCATTCCCAATGACCCCCCACTCCCATTGCCCCCTCCCACTCCCATTGCCCCCCCATTCCCATTGCCCCCCCATTCCCAATGACCCCCACATTCCCATTAATCCTCCCATTCCCCCCTCCCATTCTCATCCCCTCCCCGCACTCCCAATGACCTCCCCATTCCCTGTGACCCCTCCCACTCCCAATGACCCCCCCATGACCTCCCACTCCCAATGACCCCTCCCACTCCCAATGACCCCTCCCACTCCCATTGCCCCCCCCATTCCCATTGACCCCTCCCACTCCCATTGACCCCCCCCTACTCCCATTGGCCCCTCCCACTCCCGTTTTCCCCCCCACCCCCAGCTCACGCTGCGCGGGGGGCAGGCAGATGCACGTGCGGAAGAAGGGGCTGGCGCGCGCCCCCGCCTTGATGCGCGCCGCCAGGGGCCGGCTCAGCTGGCGCGCGCCCAGCGTCAGCAGCTTCGCCAGCGGGAACGCGCCCGCCACCATCGCGCGCCGCCGGCGGGAGGCGGGAGGGGGGGGGCGCGCGGGGTGACGTCAGTGCGCGCGCGACGCGCGCCGGCAGGGAAGGAGGGAAGGACGCACGCACGGGGACGCGCCCCCTGCCGGCTAAGCCACGCCCCTCGACGCAAGACCACGCCCCCCACGGCTCCGTTGCTGGGAAACGGCTCAACCCTGCGGGACACGCCCCCAAGGCGCTGGCCACGCCCCCCCGCTCTCGCTGCCGCCTCCGTGTGAACTGCGGCGCCCATAGCGACAATTGGACACCCACAGTGATGTTGGGACCCCCATAGTGACAATGGGACCACATAGTGACAATGGGACCCCAACAGTGATGTTGGGACCCCCATAGTGACAATGGGACCCCCACAGTGATGTTGGCACCACCATAGTGACAATGGGACGACTTTAATTGGCACTGGGACCACCTAAATGATACTGGGACCACCTAAATGATACTGGGGCCCCCATAGTGACAATGGGACCCCCATAGTGACAATGGTGCTCCCATAGTGACAATGGGGTGCCCATAGTGACAGTGGGACCCCCATAGTGACAATGGGGTTCCCATAGTGAGAATGGTATCCTATAGTGACAATGGCACCCCCATAGTGACAATGGCACCCCCATAATGACAATGGCACCCCCATAGTGGCAATGGCACCCCCATAGTGACAATGGTACCCCCATAATGACAATGGCACCCCCATAGTGACAATGGCACCCCCATAGTGACAATGGGAACCCTATAGTGACAATGGCACCCCCATAGTGACAATGGGACCCCCATAGTGACAATGGCACCCCCATAGTGACAATAGCACCCCCATAGTGACAATGGGACCCCCATAGTGACAATGGGACCCTCCCTGCCCCCCCCGGGTCACGTTGCTCCATCAGAGCCCCCCCGTCCCCCCCCCCCTTCGTCCCCCGCCCATCCCAGGGCGGTGCCGCCGGTGCCGGTGCCCCGAGGGCTGCGGAGCCCAACGAGGAGCGGGTACCGGGGACCGGGGGGGGGGACAGGGACATGGGGGAACACAGGGGGGCATAAGGGGTGGGGGGGATACGAGATATGGGGGGGGATGAGGGATATGGGGGGGATGAGGGATATGGGGGGGTGAGGGATATGGGGGGATGAGGGATATGGGGGGGTGAGGGATATGGGGGGGTGAGGGATATGGGGGGATGAGGGTATGGGGGTGAGGGGTATGGGGGGGGGGATGGGGGGGGTATGGGGGATGAGGGGTATGGGGGGGTGAGGGATATGGGGGGTGAGGGATATGGGGGGGGTGAGGGATATGGGGGGGATGAGGGATATGGGGGGGCAGAGGGATATGGGGGGGTGAGGGTTATGGGGGGATGAGGGATATGGGGGGGATGAGGGATATGGGGGGGTGAGGGATATGGGGGGGGTGAGGGATATGGGGGGGTGAGGGATATGGGGGGAGGAGGGGTATGGGGGGTGAGGGGTATGGGGGGGATGAGGGGTATGGGGGGGTGAGGGATATGGGGGGTGAGGGATATGGGGGGATGAGGATATGGGGGGGTGGATGGGGGGATGGGATATGGGGGGGTGAGGGATATGGGGGATGAGGGATATGGGGGCGTGAGGGATATGGGGGGTGAGGCATATGGGGGGGATGAGGGATATGGGGGGTGATGGATATGGGGGGATGAGGGATATGGGGGGTGATGGATATGGGGGGGATGAGGGGTATGGGGGGGTGAGGGGTATGGGGGGGATGAGGGATATGGGGGGGATGAGGGGTATGGGGGGGACCAGATCATGGGGGGGGGGGCACGGGACACGTGGTGCTGCCCCCCCATCCCCATGGTGCTGACCCCTCCCAGGAGCTGTTGCCATGGGGCACTGGGGAGCGGCCCCCTCCCTGCTCCACCGGGTCCTGCGTGGGGCTGAGGTGAGAGCCGGGACCCCCAAAGGGGTGGCCCCATGGAGGTGGCCCCATGGAGGTGGCCCCATGGCTCCATCCCGATGCCTCCATCCCGATACCCCCATCCCCATGGCTCCATCCTGACCCCCCATCCCAACTCCTCCATCCCAACTCCTCCATCCCCATGGCTCCATCCCGATGCCTCCATCCTGATGCCTCCATCCCGACCCCCCCCATCCCAACCTCTCCATCCCCATACCCCCATCCCAACACCTCCATCCATACCCCTCCCATGCCCATCCCCCCCTCCATGGCCCCCCGCCCCCCCACCCCGATGCCTCTCCCGATGCCCCTCCCCATGGCTCCATCCCAATACCCCCATCCCGATGCCCCCATCCCGATGCCTCCATCCCGATCCCCCCATCCCCATGGCTCCATCCCAGTACCCCCATCCCGATGCCCCCATCCCGACCCCCCCATCCCGATGCCTCCATCCCGATCCCCCCATCCCCATGGCTCCATCCCAATACCCCCATCCCGATGCCCCCATCCCGACCCCCCCATCCCGATGCCCCCATCCCGACCCCCCCATCCCGATGCCTCCACCCCGGTACCCCCCAGGACCGCTCTGCCCGCGCCACCCTCGCCGCGTGGCTCCGGTACCGCCAGGCCTGTGAGCAGCGCCTGCGCCTCGACCCCCCGGCCCCCGGTGAGCCCCAGCAATGGTGGTTGGGGGGGGGGGGGAGGGGGTTCTGGTGCCCATGCCCCTCCCCCCCCCAACCCCCCTTCCTGACCCCCAACCCCCCCTTAGGGCCCGTCTGCAACCGCAGCTTCGACCTCTACGCGTGTTGGGGGGATGCGGCCCCCAACAGCACCGCCAGCGTCCCCTGCCCCCCCTACCTGCCCTGGCACCACCGAGGTACATGGGGGGCTATGGGGGGCTATGGGGGGCTATGGGGGTGATGGGTGGTGATGGGAGGTTATGGGGGGTGATGGGGGTCCCGTCTATGGGGCAGCCCCCTCGGGGTGACTCCGGGCACAGTGCAGGGGGGGTTCGTGTTCCGGCGCTGTGGGGCCGATGGGCGCTGGGTCAGCGACGGCACCGGGCGGCCGTGGCAGGACCATGGACAGTGCGAGGACCCCGTGCCAGGGCAGCCGCTGCAGGTATGGGGGTCTATGGGGGGTCTATGGGGGGTCTATGGGGAATATGGGTGGTCTATGGGGGGGTATGGGGGGTCTATGGGGGCTTATGGGGGTATGGGGCGTATGGGGGTATGGGGGGTATGGGGGTATGGGGGGCTATGGGGGCTATGGGAGGGTATGGGGGTATGAGGGGGTATGGGGGTTAGGGGGGATATGGGGGGTATAAGGGGCTAAGGGGGCTATGGGGAGTATGGGAGCTATGGAGGCAATGGGAGTATTGTGGGCTATGGGGGTATGGGGGATATGGGGGCTATGGAGGGCATGAGGAGGTATGGGGGGTATGGGAGCTATGGGGGGTATGGGGGCTATGGGGGCTCTGGGTGCTATGGGGGTGTGAGGGGCTATGGGGTGTATGAGGTGCTATGGGGGCTATGGGGGGTATAAGGTGCTATGGGGGCTATGGGGGCTATGGGGGGTATAAGGTGCTATGGGGGCTATGGGGGCTATGGGGTGCCGTTCTGGGCTGTGTCACGCTGCCGTGCCCCGTGCTGGGATGCACTGGGATGCGCTGGGATGAGGCAGCGTGGGCTGAGCAGGGGGGATGCTGGGATGCGCCGGAGCGTGCAGCTCCGCACCCCGTTGGTCCATGGCAAGCTGTGCTGTGCACTGAGCCGGGTCCCGGGCTCTGCGGGTGCCATCACCCTGTGTGTGCTCCTCCAGCCAATCCCGTGCTCCTGCATCCCATCCCTGTGCTCCTCCAGCCAATCCCGTGCTCCCGCATCCCACCCTGTGCTCCTGCATCCAACCCCGTGCTCCCGCATCCCACCCTGTGCTCCTCCATCCAACCCCGTGCTCCCGCATCCCACCCTATGCTCCTCCATCCGATCCCATTAACTTCCTGCTGGGTTCCTATGGGGCTGGATCGTGTCCCCTGGTCCCTGCCCCATGGCACCGGTGCCGTCCCACAGCGCCAGGCCTGGCTGCTGGAGCAGCTCCGGTTGCTTTACACCGTCGGGTACTCCCTGTCCCTCGTCGCCCTGGTCCTGGCGCTGATGCTGCTGCTGCTCTTTAGGTACCGAACTGCACCCATGGTGATGGGGACCCATGGTGAGGGGCACCCATGGTGAGGGGCACCCATCGTGATGGGGTACCCATAGTGATGGGGTACCCATAGTGATTGGCACCCATAGAGATGTGCATCCATAGTGACGAGGTACCCATACTGATGAGGTACCCATAGTGATGGGCACACATAATGATGGGTGAAATAGTGATGGGTACCCATAGTGATGGGGTACACACCATGATGGGGTCCTCACCGTGATGGGGGCAGCCATAGTGATGGGCACCCATAGTGATGGACACCCATAGTGATGTGATACCCATAGTGATGGACACCCACAGTGACAGACAACCATAGTGATGGGCACACATAACGATGGGTACCAATAGTGATGGGGACCCATGGTGAGGGGCACCCATGGTGATAGGGACACCCATAGTGATGGGGACCCATGGTGAGGGGCACCCATAGTGGTGGACACGCATGGTGATGGGGACACCCATGGTGATAGACACCCATAGTGATGGGATATCAGTACTGATGGACACCCATAGTGATGGGGACACCCATAGTGATGGGGACACCCATAGTGATGGGGACACCCATAGTGATGGACACCCACAATGACGGGCACACACAACAATGGGTACCAATCCCGATGCATACCCATAGTACTGAACACCCATAGCAACGTGACCCCCACTCTATGGGGCGACACCACCCATACCCCCCCCCCCCTTTCCCATGGGGGTACCCAGGCGCCTGCGCTGCACCCGCAACTTCATCCACGCCAACCTCTTTGCATCCTTCGTGCTCCGCGCCGGCTCCATCCTCACCCGGGATGCGCTCCTGCAGCGGCGCCTGAGGGCCGGGAGCGCGCATCCGCTGCAGGGGATGCGCT